AGTAAAAAAAAAAGCTGCCTATCTACCTATTGGACAAACTAAAATCGTTCCGGACCATGGGAGTTTCCGGACCACAGAATGCCGGTCTAGAGAGGTACAACCTGTATTTAGCATCAGCAGTGAAAGTATTAAATTTGGCACAGCATCTTGAGATGGAATGGGGGAGTGGGGTAGTGTACAATTAACATAAATTGGCCTGTACATTATATATGTCATGATAAAGAAAACACATTTTATGACCACATAACACTTTTATTTTAAAGTTATTAAAAAATATCAGTACAAATTTTATTCAGGAGATTCTGGACGGAATAAAACATTTTGCTGATGCATATTTTCTAGTGTACAGTAACACTTAATACTGGCAACATTTTCAGTGTCACATATCTCAGATCAGGTTATAAACAATGCATATACTGTACAGTATATTAATGTTTCTTTCAGTTTAATATATTTCCAGATACACACAAGTCTTATGATCCTCCACATTGACCAGTGGAGTTGTTCCAAAAGCAACCAGTTCAGTGCACATTCTAAATTATCACAATTAGTGGTACTACAGGAATGCTACTTGTTACCTCCATTTTATTGGATATATTAAATCTGGTAAGACTATACTGCTTACCTAAGCATTTTGTGACTTCCAATCATTCTAATTCATTTGGAATTGACTTCTCTAATCTATCTCTGCCACTTTCCCATCTTCAGTTTCAGCTTCCTCCACTCTCAGATCAATGCTTTGCATATTTCAACCACATCCCTGCACTTAATGTTTTCCTCATGACCTTTCTTTGATCAGCTCATCCCATTGGATCACCTCCAGTACTATATTGTATTTGGGGTAAATTGTAATATGACTGTTATTCTTTGTGATCAAAAAAAGCCAGTTATATTAGTCATTGACATCACAATGTCATCAAAGTAGTAACTGCATCACTTCATTCAGTGTGATTATGCATCTTTGAACCTTGAAATAATTAAAGGAAACATTTTAGTACTAGCCTGTTAGACATCACTATTGTAGTGGTTCTAGTTAGTTACCGAAATGCACTTCGTGTATTTATTTACTTTCTTGAAACTGATATAAAATAATAATTGTTTATTATATACAAGTACAGGTAATTGTTGCCATTTTTTAACCACAGAAAAAACTGCTAATATGCACTTCAGGAAGTCTTTAAATGGACAGATATTAAAAAGCAGTTGTTTTCTTTCTTCTGTTTAGAACCAATAATTACAATACAGTATTAATGAAGTGAATAGCAGTAAAAGGTATTTTTTTATATCACCCTATCCCCATACTTACAGTAGGCCAACTACAGTACACACAACAAATACTCCCCAGACATAGTTTACCAGCTGCCTTAACACCATGAGCAGCTGATGACTCGATTGCAAAATTTGTATAAGTTGCTGAGGAATTATTCATGGTTGATTGGCAATTATGAAACTGAAGTATTTGCTACCTGTATTTGCATAATACAGTACCGTTACTGTACTGTATGAACGAGTGAAAATAATGTGGAACACCTCAGCAAATGTACATATTGTGCTCAGTACTTGCAGGAAAAACATAAGAGAAAGTTAAAGGTACACAGTACTGTACTTACAATAAAAAAAAATTATAAGCCATTACCTGTATAAAATTTCATGAATATTCAGATTTATGAAAACCACTTAACAAAAGAAAAAAATTCGTTTGCTTGTTTATTCCTTTTCATTCATTAACAAAACTTTGATTCTATAGTCTCAAATAAAAATTAGTTTTAAGGCCATGAAATTGTACAGTACAGTATATCAAAATATATATTAATGTTTGTTATTCTGTGGATTAGGGGAAAAGTTTTAATCACTTTATCAAAATCATTGGAATGACTGTAGCATAGGTAATCTTCCCGTTAGTCAGAAACCCCGGTCCTCGAAACTCTCCAATAGCCAGAATGGAAATTGACCACCAGGAAATTTTCTGGAAAAATTCTCTCAATTCAGGGTCTGTAGACAAATGTTCCAGGAGTTCCGAAAAATTGCATCATGCTCCACCGCTTCACCATGTGCCAGCTGTGTGGGTGGGAAAACCACTAGAGTAACATGGGCTGTAGGCTCACATGCTGCAATTGGCTAATACTATACTCTCATGTAACTGCATGGAATGCCTGTGATAGGTTGATGCATCTCCCAGCTTATTCCCTCTTAAGCCTAGCATCATGATACATTTAGTTCACAGTCCTCTGCAATTGTACAAGGGTGATCCCTCACTCACTGCTGTTTTTGCATGAATTTGCATTCTGCAGTACTGGACTGTACATTATTGTACCAAGACTCAATCAGCCAACAATACAGTATGAATGCAGCGTTGAGACAAAAAATAACAAAAGACCTAGCAAAAATTACTTCATTCACCAAAACAGAGTACAGTCTCTCCTCCACTTACGACAACCTGAACATACGACGGCCATGGTCGTATAAAATATTTTTCACATCACGTATTTTTGAGTCCCGACGTTAGTGATCGCGCTGTGTACTGACAAAATTTTTGTTTGTAATTCCCTTTAAAATGGCTGGCAAGCGTAAAAGTGAGAGTTTTCAAGGTGCTGAGAAGAAAAAGAGACACCCATTTTAGAATTTCTATGTAGTATTATTTTCGCCTTTTCGACTTACAACCTGGTCGTCGGGACGGAACCCCCGTCTTAAGTCAAGGAAAGACTGTACAATGTGAATTTGGTGATGTCCTCTCTCTGAAAAAAATTAAAGAAAAAACCCTGATGAGTAACAACATTGATACTGACTGATAATAGTTGAATTACAAGATCTCGACCATGTGAGATCTCCATGGGACAGAGCTCGGTACTGTAGTGCACCTAGTGACCGATAGATGGCACTGTGTTGACTACAAACTGGGTGCACTACAATACCATGGTGATCCCACATGGCCAACATTGTGTAGTTCGATGATAACTGGTTCAGTATTGGTATTACTTATCACCGGTGTTTTTTTTGTTTTGTTTATACAGTGAGAGGACATTACTAAGACTCCAAGACTACATTACAAGACTAATCCCGGGCATTAGGAACCTTGAGTATAGAGACAGGTTAAAGCATCTTAATTTGCACGCCCTTGAGAGACGTAGAGCGAGGGGCGACCTGATAGAGGTGTATAAGTGGAAGGCAGGGCTAAACAAAGGGGACATTACAAAGGTACTCAAACTATCCAACCAGGAGCGAACTCATAACAATGGTTTTAAATTAGACAAATTTAGATTTAGGCGTGAAATAGGTAAACACTGGTTTGGAAACAGAGTAGTGGATGAATGGAACAAGTTACCAAATATCATCATTAACTCGAATACGCTGAATTGCTTCAAACATAGGTTGGATGCTCATATGAGCAATAGGGGTTGGGTGTAAACGGGACTGCCCAGTATGGGCCAATAGGCCCGCTGCAGTTTCCTCCATTCTTATGTTCTTACTAAAGTTCACACTGTACTCTGTTTTGGTGACTGCGAAGTAAGTTTTGCTATTCTTATACATGTAAAGTGATTTGGCCAGACGATGACCATAGTTCATGTGGAATGTTTATGTCTTATTACATCACCATCGTTCAAGCGGAATATTGCAGATCGGGAGATACCTGTATACATTATTTTGTTTATTTACAATATATTGTATGTGTTCAGTGGTATTTGCATAAATAAATACAGCTCTGGTGTCTGTTCATGCAATACGCGTAGTTTAAACTCTAAAAACTTTCCAAGTGCAGGGTTGAAAATTCCACTATCTTGGCTGTGAAAAACAGCTCTATTCATGCCTCACATGCTCATATCATATACCGTATTTTATGGCATATGAAGCAATTTTTTGCCTGAAATTTAAAAAAAAAAAATCAGCCTGTATCCCCCAGTTGCTGTCTTCAATAGGTTAATTTCTACCTAACCCAACTCCAGAATTAAAAATGTTACTGTTTACTTAAACACATTATTTTTAATCAATTAAAAATAATTATTGTAAATATAAAAGCTCTATTTATAACTACTGTACTGATGATGATAACCCCGCGACAATTACATCTGTATGGCACACACCCAATTCTCTAGAGGAAGCTAAGCAGTAACCATTTCTGAACTCTTACAAGCATTACAATCTCTTAAAGCCATACTTGCAATGTTATTTTTAAATCTACAAATGGAGATTTACAGATAACACTCGTTTCACATTTGCATATGTTAACATAGCTGGCAGATGTGGCCAGATTAGACTCGTCACTGTAACTACCAGGCTACTGGGCCAAGCTGTGAGGTGTTATGGTTGATTTTCGGGTAGATATGCGTAACTTTCTTCTTTTATTTTTACTCGGTTACATGCACACACTATCCTACATAAACATTGTGGAAAAAAAAAATAAATTTCCTAAGGACAAACACGTAAAGGGAATATACATTTCTTTACACAAGTTAGCTGGCTCAGTGGAGGAGCGGGAGGAGGGCGCGGCATTTGGGGGGGGGGCATTGCTAGGGAATTAGCGGAGGTAGCATCTCCGCTGTGATGGTGAAGCAGGAAGCAAATGCAAATGGCGACTGTTAAACTTTCATTTGGATTTTCTTTACTGGTTTAGCAACACAGTATTTTTGTTGTAACTTATTTATTGGTATTATTTTTATTTATACCTCACATTTACTGGTGCTGTACAGGTATATATTATTTTAAGAAAACTGTGGCTACAGGATGAAAATACACAAGTTTTTTCCTAAATATTCCCCGCTAAAATGAGTGCATCTTGCATCTTATATGCCATAAAATACGGTAGATTTTTTCCCTTTTAAATATATTTATTCAACCAAACTTTTAGCTTAACTATTCATAATTGTTTTAGTAAAAAATGGTGTTTCTAACTTAATTAGAGCTGTTTTTATAAGACTCATTATCAACATTCCTTAATTTTTTTCATAATATTGAGTCTCCATCATTACCGTGTCAAAATATTTTGGTTAAGGATCTTTTATTGCAACAGTCTTGTAGAGAATTTATTCAGGATCATTATGGTACCCAATTTATCTCTTAACACAATTAGAACATATTATGAATAAAAGTTTATACACTTTCTCGCTAGCCATAAATATTTTCGCTCCTGCCCACGGTCTAAATATACTGGGAGAATGTTTGTCCGTGCAAGGTGAGATGTGTAGTTTAGATTCTTGGAAGACTTTCCCCAGCACCCAGAAACATATTAGGGATATGCATTTGTGTCTGTCCATGCGGGATGCGTAGTTTTGAGTCTGGGAAACTTTTCCCAGTACAGTATTTGTACTCTAAAAATTTACGGGGATGTGGGATTTTTCCATTTTTGAAATAGTCGTATTACCCGGAAATGTATCCTTCCCAGAAGAGCTCAACACCAATTATTCCAGCAAATGGAAATATCATTGTTGTGTGGTGTATTACAGTACTATCCGTGTTATTCACACGTTAGGTTTCAATAAATGGCGCGAATAGGCAAAAACTGCAAATAGCAACTTATACCACCATACAGCACTACTATATGAAAAACTTACATCTGTATGTGATAAGATGATATGGCCTCCCTGGCCAGCTTCACATTATAGTGAGAATCTTTTCTTAAAATTATCAAACCACCCTTTACCAACACTAAAAGGTTTTTCAATAGCCCCTTCACCACCTGCTGATTCGTGAAAATGGGCCAAGAGAATCTTAGCCTTCTAATGAATCATGTTGTCGATTGGCACGTTTTTGCAGTGGTCGTCAATCCAAAAGTTCAATGCTTTTCCATTTTCACTATGTTTGTATCACACAGTCTGTGCCACTTTAGCACTTGCAGCAACAGCTACGAATCACTTGTTCTTTCTTTTTAATGTATCACACCATGGATTCGTTCACAACCAGCCAGCCGTGGCGGCACTCATTCCTTCCTTTAACTTGCCTAATAAGTGAACTTTCTTAATAAGGGTCATCACTGTCTTTTGTCTTCTAAGTTTCACTGCACTAGCACCATTAACATTAGGCAGTCTTTTAAGGGTCATTTTTATCAAAAACACTTAAAAGTTTTGGGCACAATGAAGACAACTATAGTGCAGACAATGGTTGAGCACAAACAAGGGAGAGGAGATGCTGTGGGTGACTCACAGTGCTCCCACCGAGGCTCGTAAGCTAGCCACCATCTGCTTACCGCGAATAGTCAAAACAGCAAATGGTAAACCAGCGAAAAGCATGGGTTTACTGTGTACTGTACGGTATTCGGTATATACAGTATTTGGTGAGATTTTGCATTAAATACAAATTTCTCTGGTTTAATGAGGCCCTTACAGTATATATTGACTTGAGCAGAAACAAATTAAATTTCATGCTGGTGAAGTCATAATCAAGAGCTATTGAATTCTCAAGATTTGAAATGTAACTGCCCAAACTTCTAATACTGTACTTATCTTCTCTAACTTTATATTTAAAACAAAACTATAAAATTCCATACCCAGTAACAATATATGTGGTAAATTTTACAGCTAATGAAAACACATTTTACATAGCTAAGAGATTATTTGGCTTTTTGAGAAAGTATCTTAATTACCTGCATAAATTTAACTGCAGGAGGTAATGCATTTAATACTGTACTTTCACTCTGCCAATACTTAAAGAATAATGGCTTATTTCTACATGGAGAGTTTAGATTAATACTGAATAACAGTTTCAATGAATGCTATAACCCATTTTTAGAAAAAATTTCAACTTACTTGACACTTGATGCAAAATTATAAGAGACAAATCTCATATTATATAATCGTTGTCCACTTAAATGTATCCCTGGCTGACCATGCCCATACCCATCCCCATCCCCATTCCCATTCCCATTTGTCCATGTGGATCCATGTGTAGAAGGTTACTAGCTTGGCGTTTGCGCTCTCTGGCCTCAAAGGTTTCCTGAAATAAAATTGTTCACATTAAAATTCTTTATATCATACAATTCAAGAGGAAGAAGGATGATATTTTCAAGTACCTAATTACTTGAAGGCTTCATTCTTTATCCACTTTCATGTTTTGTCAAGGCCATACAGAATTTTTTCCATGATAGCAAATAATATAAGTTCAACTTACATGAAGTAAGGTGAATCCTGCAAAAGCATGAATGCCACCAGCAACAACAGCAAAGGCGTAAGACCAGGATAAGTAGTTAAAGTTGGGGTTCAGCAACCAGTCACGGGACCAACACATGACTCCAAATACTAGGACCGCAAAGAAGATCCCAATCACTGTAGGGAGTCAATATTTTTGTAGAAATGTATACAATCTTTCATTATTCACTATATTTGAAATTTGCATTGTTTAATCATAACTTTGTGCAATGGTTGGCTTATTACTTGGCTCACTAAAACTGTTTTGGGTTGAAAATGTTCATTTTTATGTAAAGTTCTACATTCTTATCAAATTCCTACACATCCTTTATAGTAGTCCAGCAGTGAAAATAGAGAAGGAATATAGAATTTTGTTCTATCTGTGAGTGTCCTTGGTTTCCTATCACTGCTCGTTACAGTATATAGAAAATACGTACAGGCAATCACCATTATACGATGGGGTTACAGACTTCAAAAAACTATCGATAAGTGATCAATTGTATTCCAATATTAATTACCTACGGGGAAAAATAAGTTCTGTACCTGAGCCCCTGACGAGCCCAAACAAGATTTATATCCTGCTGCTATAAAGATTAAATATTGTAATGTGTAAATAACTAAAATAATTTATATAGACATAAAAATCAATAATTTTATACAAATTAAAGACAAAAACAATAAATCTATCGAAAAGATTTATTTTCATTTACCTGACATGATATGTACAGTAGTAAGTTGCGATCCCCCAGCTGTCGCTACAATTAATTTTTGGTAGACTTTTTTTTCTTTTTTTTTACTGTTACATGCACACCAACCTTTCATAGAGAATGTGAAAAGGAAAATGATTATAAAATGAAAATAATAATACCAATAAGTATTTTTTTACATCACTGAAAGTGTGGATTGTGGAAGCAGGAGGGGGGTGAAGTGTCAGTCTCCAGCCAAGCTGTGAGCTGCAATGTTGTTATTTTTCAACTTGCAATTCTTGGTAGATATGCTTTTTTTTTTTTACACATACAGAGAATGTGAAGAAAAAATGTCACAAAGGGAATACAAATGCCTTACGTCCCAGGGAATCGTGGGAGAAGAAGGGGGGAGCAGGAGGGGGGTGCAGAGTCAGTATCTCGGCCTCCCATCATTTTTTCTTTGTTACATGCACACACAAGTGTTCATACAGAATGTAAAAAAAATTAATAAAATAAATAAATAAATAAAATATACCTGTAAAATAATTATCATGTGGTTAAAAACATAACAGAGCAGCATTCGCTCATGTCTCTACTATCCCGTGACAAGATTGCCAAATGGCAATGCAGTAGTTTTTCTGTTTATTTTTTATTTTATTTATTCATCACATTTACTGGTACAGTCTATATTATTTTATGTATAAAGAATAGCTTCTTCCACACGCAAACCATCTTCTGGGCAATGTGACACAGTTCAACTGCTTAGCCTGGCAGTCACTCGGGACAGGCAGAACCTCCCACATGTCCCATGTGAGTAGCACGTGTTATGCTATTCCAAGATTGTGTTATCATATCTTAGAATATTGCAAGTTATTGAACATCACTTTTTCATAGCAATGACAATGTAGGAAATGCATTTGGGTAGCGAATATCATAAAACTGATCTTTAGCCATCACATATTGGTACGGTATATGACTATGATCAAGCATACATAGATCCATTGTATAAAGTTCATTGGCTTTACTGTACAGTAGTCCCTCGCCAACTGTGGGGGTTTGGTTCCTGAAATACCCTGTGGTTGACAAATCTGCAGTTGGTAAGACTAAAGGCTTGTGGGAAATTGGAGGCTTGATTGCACAGCTGCCGATAACCCTCTTCAAAGCCTAATTAAGTTACCTGTTCCTTCACAAAACAATACCTGCATTGTACATTTCATTAAATTTTTAAGTCAAATACATATAAAATAGCTTAATATAAATTAAATACAGTGGGGTATGCTATAACGAATCTAATGGTTCTAGAACCTCGTTCGTTATAGCATTCGTTCGTTATAGGATTAATCCGTTCCAGGCCCCCAAATACAACCACTTAACACTGAAAAATATAATATAAAATTGTAAAATTTGTAAAAAAAGTGCATAAATATGCATTTAAACTCCTGAAATAAAGAATATCATTAATACTTGAAATAAAAAATAATAAATTAGTAAAAAAAAATAAAAAAAATAAAAAAATACTGTTCGTTGTAGGAGTTTCGTTCGTTATAGCATTCTCATTTTATAGGTAAAACCGTTCGTTATAGGAATATTCGTAGTAGAATCCGTTCATTATAGCATACCCCACTGTACTTGTAATATAAATTTAACAGTATACAGGGGTATTTACCTTCATGACATTGATGATGATGGTGGATGAGGATGATGTGAAAGGAGGTGGTTGTTATAAGGAAGAAGGGAAGAAAGGCCCACTCTCTTCCTGCACCTCTTAAGATTTGTTAATGTCTGATGGTGAGATGGGTGATGCAGTGACATCTTGGTGGATGGGGGGTAGCTGGAGTGTAGCCGCTGAGGGAGGTTTGTGGGTTGGTGACCAACACAATTGTAGCAGCAGTGGTCACTGTCTTGCTAAAAAAAAAGCTAAGGATGGATGACCGTTTTTTAGATCCCTGTACACCTCCTTGTAGAGCTTCATTAAATCCTAACCAATGCTTAAAATTAAGGCTGCACTCCATAAAAGGATGTGTGTCAATGAAATGCTCAGCCAAATTTGAAGCTGCAAGCCTTACTAAGATTGGCAAGGGTCATTTTCACTTTTTTCACATTATCCTCGTTCTCGTCATCATTGGAGGACTGTATCAGCTCCTTGCGGTCATCCTCCATCAACCTCCTCCAGATGAGAACCAAGGAGCTCCTCTATCTTATTGGCTTGAATGTTGTTCATCCCCTCGCCTGGCACAGATTTGCAATCTTCACGATGCACTGCACCTCGGCAATGAACTGAAGGGAACCTTGGAAGCAGACATGGGGTCTATTACTGGGTTCCTATTACAATTAGTATTACTTTTAATTTTTCAATATTATTAATACAGTGGTCCCTCGGTTAACGAACACAATTCGTTCCAGAAGGTCGTTCGTTAACCGAAACCATTGTTTCAATGTGATTTTGGGTAATTGGTTCCAGCTCACCGAAAATTACATACAAACTAAAAATAAATGCAGTAAAGTACACTTACTTTGAGGTGTGCATGTAGAAGGCTCCTGGTTGATGATGATGATGATGGAAATTAGAATGGGGGTGGAGGAGAAGGGAGAAGAGAAAGCATTGGGGTGGAGGAGGAGTCACCCCATGCTGCCATTTCACCCATAAAATTATAGTTCACTTGGTGTAATTCAACATTATTTTCTTTAAATCAACACTACACTGCACTATATATTGTCAATATGCGAAATAAACTTCAGAATGACTAATAATTGAACTGTAAAAACGTAAAAATAGTTTATGTTCAAGAGAGTCTGAAGCAAGATGCTTCCTCCTCTGAGCAGGGACACACACTGACGCCATTCTGGGTGAGTCAAGTGGCTGTTTGGCGCGCTAAAAACTAGTTCCCTGTACTTCAATTATGTTAAATAATTGTTAAACTGACTAAAAACTTTAATATAAGACTTGGAAAATTATTGAATAGTACAACCTCCTTGATTTTTACTCAAATGGTAATGAATTTAAGCCCTAAACCCGATTACTGTATTGGCGGACTAATACTACAGCTGATGAGCAAGCGAAAACATGTTGGGAAAAATTCGTAAGGAATTCGTTAACGAAATTTTTTCGTTAACCGAAGTGAAGAATCTTATGGAAGGTAATTCGTTAACCGAAATTTCGTTAACCGAGGCGTTCGTTAACCGAGGGATCACTATATTATTACTTTAGTTGTCATCTATTACTATTACTCGGTCGTCTGTTACTACTGTATTACTTTTGGTCACGAATTAAACCTGATCAACATAGCCAGTTACCACACTTGGAACCTGGAGTTGCAGAAGCTAAGGTTAACAGATAGTATTTTTCTTGCATAATCATCACTATGTTCCTATTTTATCTACCTTTTGCAGTAATATATTCTTGCGAATAATGAAATAATACAGATGTGCACGGATTTTTAGTGTTACAAACAAGCATGTTATGGTTGGATTTTAGTATTCCCCTGTCAAAGCAAACTGTTGAATGACAGCAACAATTCAGTAATTATGATTTTTTTTTGACAACCTAAGAGTTAAGGAAGTGTCTGTAACAGAAAAGTAATAGACTATTACTTTGCCTTCTATTACTATTAAAGCCAAGAAATTGTGATATATTGCGATTACTTTAAGAACCCTGTAATAGTCTATGACTGTTACTTATTACTATTACCCCATGTCTGCTTGGAAGTCATGCACCACCTCAAGCCAGATTTTCCCCCAGCACAGTTTCAGCATTGACGGCTTAACTTCATCCTGTTCACAATGTAGAATTTTTCCAGCAGTCTGATACAGTGAAGATGTTGTCCTTCTCCATGCATCAAAGATACAGCTGAAGGTGCGGCAAGTGTACAGTAATAACTTTTATAGGTTGCTATTACACCCTGGTCCATAGGCTGAAGAAGTGAAGTGTTGTTTGGAGGGAAAAATACCACCTCTATTTTGGGATGGGCACTCGTGAGTGCTTCAGGGTGACCGGGTGCATTGTTGACAATGAGAGACCTTAAACGCCAAATAATTTTTTGCAAAGTACAGCTCAACCTCAAAGACAATACAGTTGTTAAACCAGTCCATGAAGGTGGCAGCATTAACCCACTCCTTACGGTTAGACCACCAAAAGACAGGTGATTCTTATTCTTGCCCTTCAGGGCACAGGGGTTCAGAGTGGAAGAGGAGCATTGGCTTATAAAACAGGCCCCTGAGGCATTACCACAAAGGATAAAGGTCAGTCTGTCTTTTGCTGCCTTAAATCCCAGAGCAGACCTCTCGGCCTTTGGAAATTAAAGTTCTTTTCGGCATTCTTTCCCACCAAAAAAGGCCAGTCTCTTCCAAGTTGAATACTTGCTCCAGCAAGTAACCCTTCTGAATCAACTTTGTAAATTGTTCAGAATACAGTGCAGATACATAAAATTCAAAGCCACAGTTTGGTGAAACAGTATAGAGTAGAAACCGGATACATGGAATCCACGGATGGGAAGGGTCTACTGTACAGTATCAAGTCAGTATTACGTTTATCATTTGTGATTCAAAGGTACAGTATTAACTAAGATTAACAAAATAAATGTTTTGTATTAAAAATCCAAAAATAAAAATTTGGTCATCAAACTTACCAGCAACAGCCTGACAGCAGAAACAAAAGCCAGTAAGGTACCATTCATACTTCATGATCATGTGCATGGGCCATCTCACCAGGATCAGACTTATTGTCACTAGCGTTGTCATGCTAGCAAGTAGGGCTATGGTCATGAATGTCTGCACTGCCATAAACCAAGCTGAAACCAGATGTTTTTATTTAGGTATAATACATAATATAAAAGTTAAATATAAATATTTTGTACTATTGAGCCGTTAATTACTTTTACCCCTGGGTGCAATGGAAAATGAACACTACCTCTCCTGACATCCTGGTAGGGATAGTAAGCATGATTGCAATGTCATTTCCCTTATCCTTGTGTTTTTAAATATTTAAATCATATTTCAAAACATACGAGTTCAAATTCCACTTTTAAACATTAGTAAATGGATATGCTCGTACTTACAGTACTGTACAGTATTTACATTATTTTTTTTAATTTACAATAAACTTAACCATTTTAGTATTGCCACACATAAAAGGAAATTGCATTATGACAAATGAGGGGAATACCTGTAATGCCAATGTTAGCTCCACATATTCCTGTACAAGGAAAGCAGGACTACCAATTTGAAGCCAGATGCAAGAGCTTTGAACAAACAAATTTGCTGGTTTGTCATATTGTTCTACACTGGAGTAAGAATAATTTATGGAGTGACTGTAAATCATAAAAAATAAGGTGCTGATACACTGTACAAACTGTTATGTTGAAAAACAGGTAAGTTCTAGGTTTTTATTGGTTAAATTATGTTACTGTACTTAACAAAGTAGTTGGTAAAAGTTGATAAATAACCTGCCCTTTGATTAACATGGGTTGCATTCCCAGAAAATGCAGTGTAGAGCAAATAAATTATAACATGGGGAGATAGGGGATGCATCAGGTGGACCCCAAAAGGCCCCCCACACCAAAAATACAACAAAACCAAATTTCAAAGACATCTAAAGTAATGATGATGTGGAGGCACTGGCGTGTCCATGAAATCAGTTCCAGAAAGTTTTACAACTCGGTCATTTGCAGATGCTGGCCAAATCACACCAAACCAACAGAAGCAGCAGATTAGCCTTACTCAGCCATTGAAGAATGCATAATTTATTCTATAGTGTAAATGTGGTCGTAACTCTTCTTTGTTGGAGTGTCCCTGGACAGAGGGGCACTTGGAGAACATTCAGGTGAAGCCATGGTGACAAAAGGAAGCGAAGAAACTGAAGTTAATCCAAGCAAAGTTTTCGGTTATGCCCACTCCAAGCACTAGCTAAACTCTGAGCTCACGTGGCATGAGGAGGCTACCAATGGACTGCAGTGGACTCAACTGCTGGCCCGCTGGGGACGCTACCATTAGACTGTAATGAACCTGACCGTGTTCAGCCGGATTTTTCCCATGTTTACTACCAGGTAGTAAAAAAAAAATTGTTCGAGCAGATCCACATTGAACAAACCTGCATTAAGCGAGGGGGCGGTGCAACACAAAAATCTGTATTAAGGTACAGTAAAGCCTCGAATAACGATGGTAATGTGTCCTCCAACATTGTAGTATAGGGTGAATCATCGTATAGCGAATCAATAATTACCATTAAAATAAAGCAATAATAATGAGATGCATTCCCAAGTGTGACCGTTTCATAGCTTTTGTGTGACTTTTTATCCTCTTCCCCAAAACAATACAATTAATGAAAATTGCAAACTATATTCTTTAAATAATGTTTCTGAATGCACCTTATACAATATAAATGAATAATAATATGGTCACACAAGAGGAGATGGGAAGCCATTGTTTTAGTTTGTGTTTACAGCCGGGAGTCCGGGATAATAGTTCTACACGAAAAAATGAAAAAATAAGACCCTGGTTGTAGCTGTAGTAAAATTAATGTAAAAAAATTATTATATATATTTTAAGTACAGTGATCCCTCGGTTAACGAATTACCTTCCATAAGATTCTTCACTTTGGTTAACGAAAAAATTTCGGTTAACTAATTCCTTACGAATTTTTCCCAACAAGTTTTCGCCTGCTCACCAGCTGTAGTATTAGTCTGCCAATACAGTAATCGGTTTTAGGGCTGAAATTCGTTACCATTTGAGTAAATATCAAGAAGGTTGTACTATTCAATAATTTTCCAAGTCTTATATTAAATTTTTTAGTCATTTTAACACTTATTTAACATAATTGCAGTACAGGAAACTAGTTTTTGGTGCGCCAATCAGCCACTTGACTCACCCAGCAAGGCATCAGTTTGTATCTCTGGTCAGTGGAGGTAACATCTTGCTTGTGGCTCTCTTGAACATAAACTATTTTTACGTTTTTACAGTACAATTATTGGTCATTCTGAAGTTATTTTGCATATTGACACTATATAATGCAGTGCAGTGTTGATTTGAAGAAAATAATCTTGAATTACACCAAGTGAACTAAAATTTTATGGTGAAATGGCAACATGCCTTCTCTCTCCCTTCTCCTCCATCCCCATTCTAATTCACATCATCAACACCAGGAGCCTTCTACATGCACACCTCAAAGTAAGTGTACTTTACTGCATTTATTTTTAGTTTGTATGTAATTTTCGGTGAGCTGCAACCAATTACCCAAAATCCCATTGAAACAATGGTTTCGGTTAACGAACGACCTTCTGGAACAAATTGTGTTCGTTAACCGAGGGACCACTGTAATGTTATTTAATGTTAATAAATGGAACAATAGAAGTAGCTAACCACTAATGGTAAAGAAAAAAAGTGAGATGGATTGGGAATGCCAACATCTACGTGCGCATTTAAGGATACCGCGCCATTTATCTTTTTAAGAATATGTACAAAAGATTCATTATTGTTTATTACTGAATATGTATTTGATTTAATTAATCTTTATGTATGCGAAATGAACAATACAATTCATTAATAATACGTAGACTATTAAAACACACGAGGATAAGAGATGGCATTGTTGTCAGTGTTTACACCCATAGTGTCAGTTATCCACCTGAAACTGAAGAAAATAAGACCCTGGTTGTTGTTGTTGAAGTAAAATTAATGCAAAAAATATGTTTTAATTTATGTTATTTAATGTACAGTAGAAGTAACCACTGATATTAAAGAAAAAGTGAGACTGATAGTGGAACACCAATGTATACGTGCACACTCAAGAAAACAGTCATTTATCTTAAGAATATGTACAAAAGATTTATTATTTATTATTGCTGAATATGTATTTGATTGAATTAATGTTATATATATGAAATGAACAATGCAATTCATTAATAATACGTAGAATATTAAAACACACACGAGGAGACAAGATGGCATTGTTTTCATGAGTGATGATGGTTCTACATAAGAAACTGAAGAAAATAAGACCCTGGTTGAAGCTGTAGTGAACTTAACGTAAAAAAATTGAATACCTGTGTGTATGTTTTAAGTAATATTATTTAATGTTAATAAATGGAACACTAGAAGTAGCTAACCACTAATGGTAAAGAAATAAAGGGACACGATTGGAAACGCCAACGTATGTACACCAAGTGCGTACATGTGAAAACATATCATCATTTCTCTACATATGAATATGAAAGCAACACTATTTACTGTTCATATATGTTTTAACTAATACAGTATTTACGAATGTAAAAAAAATTCTACTCGCCAATGGTGATAAAGTCTAAAACATAAAGACAGCCAATGAATATTGTGCGAGTTTTTACTCAGATGATGAAGTCATCGGGTTCAACTCTGGCTGAAGCTGTAGCTTTCCATAAAGCTGTTACTGAAACTGTAACTGAACCTGAAGTTGTTGTTGAAGCTGCTTATGATGCTGAATTTGATGGTGTAACCTGGTGGCTGAGTCAAGCAGCTGATGGAGGCACAAAAAACTAGTTCCCTGCACTGCATATATTATCAATATGTTAACTAAATTTTAAAATGACTAATAATTAATTTTAATATAAAAAATGCAAAAATATTAAAGAGCACAACTTTCTTGATATTTACTCCACTGGAAACGAATGTAAACATAGAACAGATTACTGATTTGGCAGACTAGCCCATCAACTGATGCTCACAACAAAATGTGTTGCTCATAAGGATTTTATTTATCAAAGTTTTGTTTAACCAAATTGAAGATCCTTATGGGGATCATATCAAAGCATTTCGTCTAGCGTTTCAAATCGTAGCAATGGAAAATCTAATGATACTTTTTGTGGGGACTGTACATTGCATGTTATATCTAATACATTTGTAATTGAACTAAGATGCAATTGGCTTACCTGGCAACATCCATGACCATATAATTCTGTATTCCTCGGAGAAGATGTAATTGCACCCTGTAAACTTGTAGTCGTACTGGTATTTTGGATACCTGAAGCCATTAAAGCAAAACTCCCATAGCCCCATATTGTTGAAGTCACTGTACGTGTAGGAGTATGACTGCAGCCAGTAAGGACTGAAAGTATAGGTTTAATGAGGTTAATTTATTAAAAATAACAGTTATTGTGTTCATCAGTAAAATCTTAAAAGTAACCCATAAGATCACAATTCTTAAGTGCCTTCTAGTACAGCCTGCCTGTCTGTTGGAGGACTTACTATGTTTAATGACAGAAAATATTATCCAGGCAGACACAATTAACCAGTTGATGCTTTTGCTGTGAGCAGCACTTTCTTACCCAACCTGTTAAGGGTCAAAGGTTTGACTCCATTTCAACTAGTGGTTGGCTTTGGGTCCAGTGAGGTTTCAGGCCAAAACTTGTGTAGCTGTCTCTTGCTTAGGGGGATCAGTATCTCCCATTTATATTATACGACGCAGTAGATTCTAACTGTTATTGTATTATAATAAAATCCAACATTAATGGAACTATAAGGGGTAGGTTGAGTGATTGCCATTCATGGAGAGAAAGTTTAATGAAGGTAAACAGCAGCCCAGTCCTTCACACAGTACCATGTTTTAACACCAGGTTATACTTTTTATAAACTAAAGCATTTTTGTGCATTCATCAGTGTTTTATTATACTTATTCTTTTACATAAGCTTTTGTACACTACTATACAGAACTAACAGTGACGCAGGAGACAATGTGTGGAGCAACACAAAATGCAGTTTGGGTTGTCAGACTACACATTTACTGCCCAATGTCACAAAAAATATTGTGGAATGATTATTATTGTATCTACTATGTTTTTTATTGTTTATTTAGTGTACAGTTAATGCTATGCAAGGGCTCTAATACAGTACAAAAAGAGTAACTATTACAGTAATAGATCAGTCATTCCTGAAATCTCACCTCTTTTTCCCATTACAAAATGCATTTACAGTTGCACTGTTACACAATTCCTTTAGGTTTGCAACCTTCCAAAAAATAAACAAAGGTTTAGTGTAACTGTTTCATTATTCAACAAAGAAATTATCAAAACACTGTATAGTACCTTCTAAGTATGAAGTTAACATAATTCTAACAAAATCTGATTTTTGAAATAACCTGTACAATATTCTTCACTTAGTTTCGTACGTCTTACCACATCCCGAGATTTCATCAAGAATCCTCGTCCTCTTAACAGGTGTTTGTGGGGTAAAGGTTTCTCATTCAATTATGATGAACATTTCATGCAGGGAAATATAGTTAACAACATAGTATCTGAACACCTTGAGACCTTCAGGTTTCCAGCTTATAAAAAAAAAAGGCCTGCACACACACAAGGAAATAATGTACAGGCATCCCCAGGTTATAGAAGGGTTCCGTTCCTGAAAATCTTCCCGCATCGCAAACCAATTATTCCAGCTAACGGGGAGATTACTTACTGTATCACTGTGGAGAAAATAGTGATATGGTACTCACCAGACATCTTCTGTAACCACTTTCACTTTTTTTTTAAATTAGTCTTTCTGATTAGCATAGATCACAATAATTGATCTAGATCAGTGGTTCCCAAACATGGGGTCGTGACCTCAAATGGGGGTCGCAAGATGCATCATAAGGGGTCGCATAGAGGTCATGGGGTCCCATAAAGCTTATAGTCCAGGTGTCAAGAACTGAAGGATGTGGCCGACAGGTGCCGTCTCATAAAGTTGGGACCATAAATTAAGGTCAAGGGAATAATGCAGTTACTCTCCTTGTGTCAAGTCAGGTCAGTCCAGGGAAGGTGAACGCTGATGACATGTTACGCAGCAGAAAATTCACACTCCTACCTTTGAATTGTTCTCGGCTCAATTCACTTTGTACTTCCCATGGATGAAGAAAAAAATGGCAGCAAATTGCAATAATAGATTCCTTGAGTTGCTTAATGAATCTTTGGATTTTATTCAGTTTTTGTTCAAGACAGATGTAAAATAGTGTGGCTCTTTTGTCCTCGAAATAGCAGAATTACAACAAGGCAAGGGTGATTTTTGCCATTTATGATGACATATCAATGTTTTGGGTTATTTATCAAATTGACATTCAGCGGTTAAAAATCGAGCTATTAAGGTTCTGATATAATTTGGAAGTCAGTGGGGCAGCTTTCTCATCAATGGTGTTTATAAAAAACTATCAACGTAACCATATATCAAACAAACTTAGAAAATTGTGTGCTATGTTGTTTAATCACATAATTATACCCCCAGTTAACAGAAAATTTATTAAATGATAATGTACACACATTACATATGAATTATGACAGATGTAACTTGTAATGAAAATTAATTATATGATGATGCACACAAGTCACATAAGAAATGCATACAGTACGTCAGAGATGTAACTAAGAAAATTGTATGTTACGTTGCTTTATCATGTACAGTGAGTTCTGCTATAACGCGTGTTTTGATAACGCGAATTTGCTCTAACGCGATTTATGAATTAGGAACGATATTTGTATAACGCGAACGCTCGTTTGCTATAACGCGATTTTTGCTTACTATTTCTCCAATTTTGTGGTACAGTGGGGTACGCTATAACGAATCTAATTGGTTCTAGAACCTTGTTCGTTATAGCATTCATTCGTTATAGGATTAATCCGTTCCAGGCCCCCAAATACAACCACTTAACACTGAAAAATATAATATAAAATTGTAAAAATTGTAAAAAAATGCATAAATATGCATCTAAACCCCTGAAATAAAGAATATCATTAATATTTGTAATAAAAAAACAATAAATTAGAAAAATAAAATAAAAAATTAAATAATGTGAATATAGTAAAGAAGAATATCAACAAGAAGCGTTCTGGTGATAGAATTCCCGGTGATGATCGTAAAAGAAAGGATATAACACTTGAAGAGAAGCTCGATTTTATCAACCTCGAAATCACCCTTCTCCCCCATCAAGTAAAGTGTAACATTTACTGTATGATTTCATTATTAGATATGAATGTAACATTTATTTAGACTGTGCTATCCTTTGTGTTAGGCTAACTACTAAATTTTTTCGATTTCGAGTAATCTGCACCTAACCCTATTTTCTCCATAAGCCCTGTTATTTCTATTACGCGATTTTCTATAACACGATATTTTACAAGAACACAATTATCGCGTTATAGCAGAACTACCTGTACTGTAATTATATCCCCAGGTATAGAACACTAAATGATCATATAATGTCACATATTAAACATGACAGTTGTAGCCTGTTTCTGCCAGTGTTTACTTTTACACTTCTCAATTTGTAATACATTTCCTTACTTGTTTTTACAGTTAAATACATACAGTACAGTATATCAATATGTCCGTATTTACTCTAAGGATCTTCATATGTACAGCCTACTGTATGTAATGACTTGAGGTCGCACTGGATAGGTGACAGTACTAGACGGGATCGCACTGGAAAATGCATGGGAACCCCTGATCTAGATATTTCCAGAGATCGAGCAATGGAGGCACATGATTCACCACTTTAAATTCTCATTATAATATCTAATTTTATCTCGTAACTATGGCTTGTATGAGTTTGCTTTTTAGCACTATCAACAGTATTACACTTTCTCTCATTACTGGCCATGATAAATACAGTGGATGACTTTAGATTCATGGAAGAATTTTTGCAATATGAAAGTTTATGTACACTGCACTGTAAACAACTAGGGCAATAGAAATTAATACTGCATTTCATAGTAACCATGCAAAGAACTTTATATAGCCTCTTACATAGGGAGATAAAGGAAAAAATACTCTATAGTGTTTGTCAGTAATTTATAGTTTGAGTTACTTTTCGATTACACTTAAAGAGAATACAAGCTCACAGGGATGTACATTTCGGTTAACGTTACGTTTCCAAGAACGTATCTAGGACGTTAACCGGCGCATGACTGTATATATATATATATATGTATATATAATTTTTTTTTTCTTTTTTTTTATTAGCTCATAAAGCGTGTAGACTTCTACATATAATCAACAACCTCACCCCGCCAGGACTCGAACCCACGACCTTATGTGTGTGACCGGGGAACGTTACCTCTAGACCACCAGGACACTAAAAGCAATCCTAGACTTTGTTATATTTCATACAAAGCCTGTTCATCGAGCTTATGGCGCCGTGAACCTCCAATTGGGGGACTACCCATGCCTCTTAGGTGATCAGCGTAACGTTTTACCAAATCCGGCTTCGAAACACGAGGTTCCATATATATTTCATTAGCCCATAAAGCGCGCGGACTTCTACATATACTGTAATCAACAACCTCACCCCGCCAGGACTCGAACCCACGATCTTATGTGTGTGACCGGGGAACGTTACCTCTAGACCACCAGGTCAAGTCTGGTCTTGAAAGAACTCACATTCGATGCCGTCAAAACACTAGCAGATTGTTCCAAGAGTTGAGGAGTTTACAATGGAGAAAAATCATTGCAATTAAACAATCAAAGTACAGGTAACTAAGATGTAAAATATTTCAATAAGATAGTTTATAATGTAATTTACTTCATGATATTACTGTACAGTACATAATTTCTTTAACTAATAATAATACAAGTACTTAAGAGCATCAGTGTACTGACCTTGTAAATGAGATGACGAAAAAGACAGTTGCAACAAAAGCAATTATTCCAGCATTGACCATAGTAGCTGAAAAATAAATAAACCAAGATAAAAACAATATGGTAATTTTGTTTTATGCTATGGAAGAAAAATATAATTTTTTATCATGCAGTATACAGCACATGATACAAATACCTGCACTTCAAAGGTAATTATATACAGTATATAACCTGAATAAAACACTGAGGTGTAAATAGTACTGTAATGATGTATTAGCCCTTGTCAAACTGACAGTAATATTTACATAAATGTGGGCCACATACATTGTTTATATAATTACATCACCCACGGTAACTAGCCCATGAGCCATGATTAGTCATTAACTGGATATGTGACAGTGTTTTTCCGAGCGTCCACTATGAGCTGTGAGCATTAATAAGGGACGAAGCGTATGTGTAACAAGCGTCGTAAACACACGTCTTGCATGGCTGAGAAATGGGGTACAGCTGTCAGAAGCAGGATATTAATTGCTGATCTCACAGCCATGATGCGGGCGCCAGTCGATGACTACTCACAGCTCATAGGCCAGTTACTGTAGATCAGGGGTGGCCAACCTGTCGATCGCGATCGACTGGGCGATCACAAGCCCTTCTCTAGTCGATCGCATGGCATAGTTAAACTTAATGACCCATCCTTCAAAAGCTACCATACTAAAATCGTACTAAAATTTTACCCATAATCATTGGGATATAATTTTTGTTTAGATTTTTTCTTGGAATAGATTATTATTATGGACACATCAGAATGATACATGCAGAAAAACTTCGACTGTCCCATGCTGTATATATGGCGGAACCTGATAGGAAGTGTTCACTTTCATATGGGCCGGTGCTGGCTGGTTCCTCGTGAGGAAACTGATCAGCAAGTTGTCATCAATTGTAGGCTAAAACTAAGCACGTATTTGCTTTTATAAGTTTAGAAATACACATTAAACCTTGTATTTATGAATTTGGTAATGATAAAGTCAACTCAATATTAAGGAGTCTTCTCAAAAGTAAAGAGAGAGGATCATGTTTGACAACCCCGCCCCTACGAGCCTACACACTTGTCACCAGCGATGCAGTGATTTTTGGTCATCTGCAATACTTGGAAGTGTGAGGTGCTGTCTCTTGTTAAGGAAAAAAAGTCTTGGATGATTACGAGAATTACTGACTTTTTAGCTTCGCGACAGTTCTCGCAGCAAACCCTAGAGTAGACAGAAGTGTCCACACTAGCCGATGACAATTGCTTATGAAGAAAAGAAGAAGTTAAAAACGTTACGTTTTTACGGTCAGTAATTCTCATATTCACGTAGGAAAAGTCATGGAAAAAGGTAATTCTCATATTCACGTACGACTTTTTCTTTTCCAAATACAGGTTATTGGCCATCAATTGAACCAAAAATGAGTTGTGGACCAAGTACTAAAAAGACTTAAATTTTCAATTTTCACAATGAATGGGAAAAAGTCTATTTTTTTTACCATGAATAATTTGAAGTGTGTGTTTCTGATCTGCCATGCATCTCCAGCTGTAACTAAGAAAGGAAATCTTGAAAGGTATTTCAAAAGTTTTTGCAAGAAGTATGATATTGATTTCCCACCCAAAAGTGAGCTACGGAAGAGGAAAGTTCATGAACTGGAATCACAGCTTACTGCACAACAAACTCTTTTTACAGGCGCGAGCTCAAAATCAAGGGTAGCAACCATTGCATCATTCAGGGTGAGTCGAGTACTTACAAAGCATAAAAAACCATTTCAAGATGGAGAAATCTTCAAAGAGGACTTTTTAGAAGCAGCAGATTCGTTGTTTGAAATTTTCAAAAATAAGTCTGAAATATTGTTCAGTAATCAAGAAACACTCATAAGGTGCTGTGAATTTATGGCTGAGGATTTGGGTAAACAACTGAACAAAGACATACGTGAGTGAGTGTTCTTTTCATTACAATTTGATGAGTCCACTGATGTGGTCGATACATCACAATTATGCATTTTCACTAGAATAGTATTTAAAGGCATGAGTACCAAAGAGGAACTGCTGAAAATTCTACCATTAAAAGGAAAAATTCAGGGTGAAGACATATTTCAGACTACGTGATTTTGTTAATAGTACACAGTTGCCAGTGAGTAAGCTTGTATCTATAACAACTGATGGAGCACCTGCAATGGCTGGCCGAATCAGTGGGCTCATTGCCCTGTGCAGGAGTGATAATAGATTTCTTCGTTTTTGTCCTCAAAAGATTGGCCTTCTGATCAATAACAAAGTGTGCCTGTTTGATTTAGCTTTTTTAGTTGACATGACTGCTATGTTGAATGAACTAAACTTAGATCTGCAAGGGAAAGATAAAACTATAGTTGACATGATTAGTGCTGTGACTGCTTTCAGGCAGAAACTAAACTAGTGTCTTCGCAGCTGCAGCAACATCAACTACGAAACTTCAGAAATATGATGTCTGAACTAGAAATACAAGGAAAAGACTATGACCAGTTTGACAATGATCGATATATTGAAAAGGTGCAATACCTTGCCTCAGATTTTGACAGAAGGTTTCAAGATATAACAGCAATAGAAACTGTCGCAAAATATATGCTTTCCGTTTAGTAAAGACACAAATGTTTAAGATATTGCATCTAGAATGGCATCAGCATTTAACATGGACATATCTGAAGTCGAAAATGAGCTTCTGAAACTTCAAAATGATATTCAGATCAAATCAATGGCAACAGGAGGAAGTTTCTGGAATCTTCTCAATGAAGAAAAATATCCCAATGTCAGAAAATGTACCATGTGCCTTACAGCATTTTTTGGATCAACCCACCTTTGTGAATCAACATTTTCACGTATGAAACACATCAAATCCAAATACCGATCAACAATGTCAGATGAACACCTGGATGCTTGCTTGAGGCTAGCAGTCACCGCCAACAGTCCTAATTACACAAAGCTGGCAGACAACATGCAATGCTAACCACCTCATTAATAAAGTAAATGTATGCTTTTGTCATGTTAACAATATATCATAACAGTTATTGAAAAATAGTATTTGTGCACCTCTCTCTATCTATGAATCTGCATATTTTATGGCAATGGGAGGAGGTGTTATTATGGAGGAATATTAGGCTGGTAGATCGCTTCAGGTTAACTGTGGAAAAAGTAGATCACATCACACAAAAGGTTGGCCACCCCTGCTGTAGATCATGTAATTATATAAACAATGTACTGTATGCAGCCCACAGTTATATAAGTATTACTGTCAGTTTGACAGGGGCTAACACAATGGTAAAACTTTACTTACCAGTATGTATCATGGGTAAATCATAAGTGTATAAATTGCACAGGTAAAACAATATGCAATACAAAACTTTGCAAATATAAAATACGATTAAGAAGTTGAGATCGTAAAAAATAAATGGTTATTCTTCATCATACTGACAACAGAATTTTATGGAATAATTCTGAACCTTAGTGAAATAAAGACCTTGCTATGTCTGTTTTGGCACTTTCAAGTTAACAATCATCTACAGTAGATCAATTCAGTTATGTGCTTCAAAATTGTCAGTACAGCACTTTACAGGGGCTCGTCATAAAAACATTGCACGAATCATTACATTGAGATATTTGTTATACAGTATTATTGTTTACTTTTTCATAATGTTTGATATTGCGAGTTTTCTTCTGTTGCATGTACACAAACACAAGGCTGCCACACTGTACAAAACCTGACGAGCCTCTGTAAACGTGCTTATGAAGGGGACTGTACATCTCTTGGTCAGTGTCAACTTCAGTACAGTATATAATTATACAGGATCTGAAAAATTCACACATTTTTTCCATTAACAACACATCTAAACTATAAAATGTTTACTTGATCACTCTGGGGCTGAATGATATAAAATCCATTTTACTCCCAAGAAAAAAATCTTGATATTGGTCCTTCTTACACAAACATCCAGAATTCACCCATACTGTTTGAAGTATTGTACTGTAGTGAAAGGTATTATACATATTTAATATTCCAATAACCATTATTCTATATGGAAATTCTTAAATAACAATATAGAGAGTACAGTATGATGGAGTATTGTACCTAATATGATCCAATGAGTTACTGCAATAAAAATATCAATAAGCAAATTATTTTAATAAAAAATTATTCCATTCAGATTAATATCAATTGAAATACATGTATTTCAGTAACAAAAATAGAGAGTTAATTACTTGAGGGTCTCACAAATTCATAAACTGTCTCAACAACTGGAGGAAAGTACGATGATGCTAAAGATGTCCGTCGACTGAAGCGGTTTGGGTACCCAGAGTACAAACTTGTCCCAGCAACCGATGCCATTTTTTTTTCTAGATCAGTTTATAACTTTATTGTACTGAACTGTACTTGAAGTCTTTGGATATAGCACCACACGTCACTATTATCTGTATAAATAATAAATAACTAGGAGAGCACAAAGGACTTCACTGGATGGTATCTGAAAGTGAAGTAGAAAATTTCAAATAATTTTTTGTCTAAAAAAACATAAAGCAGTAGTAAGTCAAAATATTTTATCTCCAATAATATTAATTGGCTGATACATGTACTGTACATGACTAAAAATCAGCAAGGTAATGTATGAGGAAACCGCTCTCACCAGAAGTTCATGTGCAATTTCATTCATTCAGGGGCTCGACAAGCTCTGGGATGTACCATGTCAGGGCCGGGACTCTTATGAACCTTTAGCTTTGACAATTTATTTCTTATAAACTTTCTGTGAACACAATGTGGGTCAGCGCTGTGTCGAACCGTCTGTCCTCAAACGCAGTTAGATTGTCCGCATACTCTTGTGAACCTCAAGGAACAGAAACTGTTCCATGCCTCTGCTTTGTCCTGGTCAGAATCTGTGAAACTACCATCTTCAAGCCTCGGGTCCGATACTCCTACTCACGTTTTTAATTTTGACTTTGCATAGCAATAAAATACCTTTGGGTTTGACGTGACCTCGCTTGCAACCAGCCTCTGGAATTCATTTTCAGCCCTTCTACACTCTGACTTTGCTTGGTTCCTTGACTCTTGTATACATCCTCCTGTCCTACTCATCGTTTGACCAACCCACACCTTGAATTTCTAGGTTTTCTTCTTAACTTTGTTGACCGATGTAGTGGTCTCCTTGTATTCCTAGAGGCATTGGATTTGGTCTTGGGTATATATTTCTCAATCAAATGGTTCAGTTTACTGGCTATGATATTCAGTGTAGTGTTTGTGTTCTTATACCACTCAATCTCCTCCCTCATTCTGTCATAATTTCCATTGTAATATTTGAACCTTGGCCTGGTTTTGTCATGAATCATATAACAGTTAAATCTGAAGGACAACATTACATGGTGGATGGTGCCAACGAGGGCTAAGTGTTCCAGCTTGGCTACCATATCCTAGTCTTGAAGATCGTGACGAGTGACGGACCATCCAGAAATCTTAACGGCCATCTTATAAGACCTACTAGTTTCGTTACCTGATTCACATTCTCAGAACGGCCCGAGAACTTAAGTTAATTGTCGACATGCACACCCAGGTCCCTTTTACATTCGGTCTCAATTAATGCAGTCTCTTCGTCCTGTTGGGACATGTGATACGCCTCCTTATTATTGGTGCCACCCAGGTACATCCTTCTGCACTTAGTGACATTGAATCTTAGGAGCCATTTCCTCGACCATTCTTGAACCTCATAGATATCTTTCTGCAGCTCTTCACAGTCTGTTTGGTTCTTAATTTCCCTAAATAACATGGCATTGTCCACAAGCATTTGTATGGAGGAATGTATAGCTTCTGGCATGTCATTAATGAAACGGACAAACAACAAGCCCCCCAATACACTGCCCTGTGGTATCCAGCTAGTCACAGGTGCGCATGATTTTGTACTATTTATTACCACACACTATTTGCAGTCATGAATATCATATCTGAACTCAGCAATGAAAATACAGTATGAGAAGATTCATCAAATTACACTGCAATGGGTATGTCATCAATATTAACCAAAAATACAAAGTTGTCACATCTAAATAACTAAGTGGTAACATTGTGATATATTCTTACAACCACCATGCTGTGAGTACTACTGTATTCCAGATGGTACTAAATGTTACATAATACTTCCTTGAGATAAATGTACAGTATATATCACGTGCCTTCAAGAAGGGTGCTGGACAACTCGTACCCAAGCAAATCTTACCCATCACAACATGTTGAGTCGTACCCAATTACAAGATAACTCGTACCCAATTTACGAGACAGTTCGTACCCATATATATATATACTGTACAGTCAACCCTCGCTTTACGTGGTCCCACATTCCGCGTTTCCACGGTACCCTGCCGAAACAGGAATGCTCACATTCAGCGGTGCGTGTACCCCTTTACGCGGAGAGCGGCTGGCGAGCCACGCCATTTTTGGATCCAAACCTCCCGCCATGTTGTGTAAGCGGCGCGAGCATGGTGCGCACAAGGTCGCCCAGTCATCAAAACATTACCGAGTTCTTCACCCGCCACCCACCACAGCCGGCCCAAGTCAGTGATAGTGATAATTATAGTGAGGATATGGACTTATATGGACTTTGCGGGGTTTGACAAAGAGGCCCTGCAAGCCTCTGTGGTGGATAGTGATACAAGTGATACAGGTGAGGGCCAATAATCTGCCCTCTGCCTCGGAACCAACCGCCCAACCCCGTGTGCCCAGCCATCTTTTCTACTAATGTAAGTGTTAAAAACCTATTATTGATATTTCTCTTAATTATTAATTGTGTGCATACCATCATAAGTTAAGATAATATTTTACTACAACATAGTTGTGTGTCGTCAAAAGTGGAGTTTGGGGAGTGGGCCGGTCTCTATTTCAATTAATCCCATATGTTATGTTGTTCACTTTCGCGTTTCTCACTTTCCGCGGTACCCTGTGGGTTGAATTAACGCGTACAGTGAGGTTGACTGAATGTCTTGAATAAAAGCTAAAGACACTCCGTTGTTTCCCTTTTCCATGTGATTTTATCAATATATATATATATATATATATATATATATATATATATATATATATATATATATATATATATATATATATATATATATATATATATATATATATATATATATATATATATATATATATATATATATATATATATATATATATATATATATATATATATATATATATATATAATATATATATAAACACAGTGACCCCTCGTTTAACATGGGTTAAAATTTAGGTTAACGAACTGCCTTCCATAAGGATCTTCAATTAGGTTGAATTTCTTCTGAACCGACCTCAACATGTTTTTGGCACTGACCGGGCAACCAGTTTTAGTATCAGTCCGCCAATACATTAATCGGTTCTAGGGCTTAAATTCCTACTATTTTAGTAAATATCAAGAAGTTTATACTATTCAATAATTTTTAAAAGTTTAATATTCAATTTTTTAGTCATTTTAACAATTATTGAACATAATTGAAAGGTAAAGTGACTAGTTTAATGAGCGGCATCCAGCCTCTTAACACAGCAAACAGGCGTTAGTCTCTCTGTTTCACTGGAGGTAACATTTTGCTTGAGACTCTCTTCAACTAAATGCTTTTTTTCTGTGTTTCCAAGCAAATTATTGGTCATTTTGAAATATATTTTACATATTGACAATATATAATGCAGTGCAGTGTTGATTTAAAGAAAATAATCTTGAATTACACCAAGAGCTAAAATTTTATGGGTGAAATGGCACCATGGGGTGACTTCTCTTCCACCCCAATGCCTTCTCTTCTTCCTTCTCCTCCAACCTCATTCTAAATCCCATCATCATCATCATCCAGGAGCCTTCTACATACACACCTCAAAGTAAGTGAACTTTTCTACCATTTTTGTTGAATTTAGGAAATTTTCGGTGAGCTGGAACCAATTACCCAAAAACCCATTGAAACAATGGTTTCGGTTAATGAACTTTTCGGTTAACGAACGACCTTCTGGAACAGATTGAGTTCGTTAACCGAGGGGTCACTGTATAGGGTGAGTCAAAAGTCTCCATACATAGGCAAATGATCACTTTAATATACAATTACTTGTAAGTCACAAAATATGCTATATGTGGGCACCATTACATTTCAGCAAGATGGGGAGCCACCCCATTACGGTATCCATGTGCGTCAGTGGCTAGATCCGCAGTTTCCGGCTCGCTGGATTGGCCCCCGTGGTTCCGTGGAGTGGCCTCTGAGGTCCCCAGACCTCACCCCCCCCCCTTGACTTTTACTTTGGGAGCACTTGAAGACCATGGTGTACCAGGTGAAGATACAAAACACGGACCACCTAAAGGAACGCATTCGTGATGTGTGTGCAAAGATAACACCAGACTTGTTAAAGCGTGTTCACCATGATTGGGAGGAATGCATCTGTATGTGCATTCAATGTAATGGTGCCCACATAGAGCATATTTTGTGACTTACAAGTGATTGTACAAAAAAGTGATCATTTGCCTATGTATGGAGACTATAAATTCTTTCATTATCAATACTGCACTGTACTTACAATCACCAAAACAAGAAGAAAACAAAAACAAATCCATATTCTGGTGGTAGCAGTTTCCTCATAAATTACCATCAGCAGTACTGTACTGTTATGCTTTCAATAACCCGCAATGTATTATTTTCCCATTTCTTTGCTGAAGTTATTGAACAATAAAAAAATGCATTTGTCATTGGGTCAATTTATATTGGAGAACATAAATCGATATTGGATTTTTTTTTTTTTTTTTTTTTTAATGAGAAGTTCAGACAAAAACAAGACGATTTTCATCTATGACACTTTAGGCGCTCTTTACTCATTACCGATATATCAGGAGTTGAAAACGTGAAAAATACTAGGAAAGGTATAATCTCATTTATTGCCACCAACCGAATCTTGTGATTTTTTCCTTGGAAACAATAGTTTAGACAATTCTAAGACACTTGTCTTCTATGACGTCTCCCTCGCAGACGATCTAATATAGAAATATTTAAAATGCCGAGTGGGGGGGAGGCATAGCCCCCCGTTAGGTAGTTTTGGTTGATGCTATCAACCACATATTACTAATTAAGTTACCCTAACCAAGGAAAACTACCTAACCTTACTTAACTTCCTAAGTAGAGGCTTGGCACCCTCCCGGCATATTAAATATCTGTTCTATGTTATTTGCGAGGGAACGGCCACATAAGATGTGTTTTAGAATTGTTTAAACTATTGGTTAAAAAGAAAAAATCACATGATTCGGTTGGTGGCAATAATAGCTAAGAAATTTTCTATTAGTTCTGATTTTCTACTCCCGATATCTCGTTTATGAGTAAAGAGCGCCTAACTGATGTAGATGAAAATCGTCTTGTTTTAGTTTGAACTTATCATAAGCAATACAAAAATATCCAATTATGTCCTCTACTATAAATTGACCAGTCATTGCTTATTGTTCAAATAAAAAATTGGTTTCCACTGTAAAAGAAGTTTATCTCACTAATGTTTCAGTGTTCCGAATTATTATTTTTTAAATAATCAACCCAGTTCTGGAAACCACCATTGTTTCTTGTACACTGTAACCATAATTAGGTGGGCGGGGTGTTAGCTTTGTCTGTGTTGGCATTAAAACATCCGGTCCCCAGTCGGTCAGGTCCCCAGCCACCCTGCATGGCAATCATGGTTCTTTATACGCAATAACGAACTTATGAACGGCTATTATAATTCTTCAGTTATTTCGCTTTCTAATCTCTCAACTTATGAGAACCTTTTCTTTAGAGGCTTGCTTGTGAATCTGAACTATTTAATCACCCAACAGTGAAATATGCAACACTGAATAGAATCAGATGTGTTGGAGTTCCCTTTACCAACAGCACCTCAGCACCAGGCGTAAACAAACTCTGAATGCTAGATGGGTTTGGTACGTGTGCGTGCATTTTTCAAACGAAGGGTTGTTTTTTGCTACTTACGCGATGGCGGTGTTGGCTTGATATCTTTGCTGAAAGAATCCCATGATTGCCCATTTTGTAAAATCCCCACAGAGCTTCTCCAGGAGCGTTTATCATCCATGGTCCTCCAGTTATGTTCACTTCTCTGTGTCCAGCGTAACAACAACCACACCTACGATGTGTTTGAATGTGAGGACTTGAGGTGTTTCCTACTTTGTTTTCTGGATTACCTTATATCATTTAGCCTAGATACTTACATATAAAATAATATGTACCAAATTCCCACGATATAACTACAAAATAGTACAACTATTGTGGTTTGAGTACTTAAAGGAAGCCGAAGTCAAAGATATCATTCACCAGGTGATGAGTATCGGATATCCATCCCACCCAGGTAAGTTCCAGGCGACGTTGCCACATGTTGGGGTGTGACGAGTCATGGGAGGGTTCAGTTGAATTGAGTGGCCGAGGACTGAATTTTTTTGTATACATTATTAATTTGACATTCGACATTAGCATCAAGGATGTGTACAAATATTAGTCGAAATTGATTTGAACTTCAATATATATATATATATATATATATATATATTTCTTGTAGATCCTAATGAAAACGTGGATAGATAAATCTTGATAAAATCACACGGGAAAAGGAAACAACGGAGCACCTAAGCTCGTTTTTCAGACATCTTTTCCAAGTGTGATTTTATCCAACTATATATATATATATATATATATATATATATATATATATATATATATATATATATTTTTTTTTTTTTTTTTCATGTAGATCCTATGAAAATATGGATAAGATAAATCTTGATATATATATATATATATATATATATATATATATATATATATATATATATATATATATATATATATAATCACACAGGAAAAGGGGAGACAAGCTTAGAAGTACAGTATTCAAATCACCCTGTGTCACAGAACGACTTCTGGTTGAAGCTAGTTTGATTAAGGAATTAAAATCAATAAACCTTAGTGATGGTCAGTTCAAAACTGATATTATGTTACATAAATTTATTTGTCAGTGGCCCAAGGTTAAAAATGCTTTGAAAACCTTGGAGCTAGAAGTAGGATAGTTATTTAGTGGGTCCCTTATTTTTGACCTGACCTGACCTGACTAGTCACGTCGCCCCCTTTCTCTTAAGCTCCTCTACGTGTGTGTTGGTGTGGGGATTAGTGGATGACATCATTATGACCTGACCTTATGTTTAATAAGGTCACCCTGTATATTTAAGCCTCTCTCTGCGACTCTGCCCATGTAATCCAGATGCCTCTGAAGATGTCTTGAATAAAGACGAAAGCTTAGGTGCTCCGTTGTTTCCCCTTTTCCCCGTGTGATTTTATCAAGATTTATCTTATCCACTTTTAGGATATATATATATATATATATATATATATATATATATATATATATATATATATATATATATATATATATATATATATATATATATTTTTTTTTTTTTTTTTTTTTTTAGGGAATTAGTCGCCCGGGCACAGATCAATAACCTACACCAGGGCCTGGTGTTATTATTATTATTATTACAGGGTATAATAATATTATTAAATCGTTTACTCTTACAGTACATTGACAAATGTTCTTCACATATAACCACGTGGAGATCAAGAGAGATTTCAACGGGCCAAGACATGATCCATTAAAAACACGATCTTACGTCCAAAATTAACATACATTAACTCAAAGATGAGATGTATGGCATATTAGGACTCTTGACAAACTTTTACTATAATAACGTACAATGCACATAAAAATACAAGGATGAAGCACTACATGATATAATTGGCACAATACACAGGCATCTTCCTCCCGTTACTATTATATACTGGCACCGAACTACTGTACGTGTCGCCCTACCCCTCCCACCCTCACACCTCTTGTAGTAGCTAGCAGCCGTGTGGGTTCAATGTGTAATATACATATACATATGCACACATGTAGACTATTAATACCATATATATGTACACCTGGTATTAATGGTCCATATGTATGTATAATTTTAGTAGACTATGTGAACAGTCTTAGTAGCCCACTTGTGTACTACACACTGAAATGAACCCACACTGCAGCTACTACAAGGGGTGGGAGGGGTAGGGCGACATTAGGTCGGTGATAGTAACGGGAAGATGCCCGAGTATTATGCCAATTATATCCAGTAGTGTTTCATCCTTAGTTGTTTATGTGCATTGTACGTTATTATATTAAAGGTTTGTCAGCAGTCCCAATTCGTCATAAATCTCATCTTTGCCTAACTGTACGTTAATTTTGGACGTAGGTAAATGTTTGTATGGTCGTGGACTCTGTGATGAATCATGTCTAGGCCCATTGAAATCTCTTGATCGCCAAGTGGTTATATGTGAAGAACATTTATGTCTCCGTACTTTAAGAGTAAACGAATTAACAAAATGTTTGTCCTAATTTGAATACGCAAAATACCTGAACCTCGGTGTGAGTACGTAAACTAACTTTCACTTTTGATATAAGTACAATAAATGTTCTTGGTGTAAATATGTAAACAAATGTCAATCTTGATGTATATAAATTGCCTCTTGAAAGAAATGTGTGAATTGCCTTTCTCTTTTGGAGTGAATATTGAAAGGAAAATCTCTCTTGATACGAGTACGTCGAATGACTGTGATATGAAGTACCCGAAAAGGATATAGCGTCCCTGTAAGCTTGTACAGTAATATCAAAGAACATCTTTGGTAGTATTGAACATAAGTGGAAGTTGTTACCTAACAATGAGATGCGTTTATTTTTTCTTGTAAGCAGCCTACATTAAACCGGATTTATTTGTTAATTTTTAACAATATCACACATAGGGGATGTCAACATTTGTAAAGAACCAGCATAAATGTAATTTTTCATTGTTCACTACAATATTTAGCGTATGAAGAAAAATGACAACACAATATATATATATATATATATATATATATATATATATATATATATATATATATATATATATATATATGCTGATAACCACAAGGTTATCAGCATATACCTAGATCACGTGCACCTACAGTGATTTACTTGTATATATATATATATATATATATATATATATATATATATATATATATATATATATATATATATATATATATATATATATATATATGATGGCATTGCACGTAGGTTAGGTTAAGTTTTTTCCGTGCCCTTTTATCTGTGACTTTTTTTCTGGATTCGACACCGTAGATAGAAACTGGACGACTTCACACATCTTTTCCACAACTTCTTACCGAATTCTGCTAAAACTTTAAGAAAATGTCGTACAAGGTCTCAAAATGGACATAAAGGTCTCGTGGGCCTCTTGCTATTGATGGCTATAACTTTTTTACAAATAGAGTTGTCCTTTTAATGTTTAGACTTCTACACCTTAATGTTTCTTTCATAAGTCGTGCCTTCACCGAATTTTACGAGGCGCTACCCACAGTGATACACAAAAGCCTCTTAATATGGGGTAAATGGTCAAAGGTCAAGGACATCCCCTACTCAGTAATATCTCTGTGAGGTCCTCGTTTGTAACATTTCCTTTACAGGTAGGTCATCAGCCAGGTCTTGTTGACACAATTAAATTTTGGAGTCAAATGGTCAAAGTCAACGTCACTTGAATAAGCACCAGGCTTTTATATATCAGTGGCCGCGTTTTTATGACACGATTTCTGCTTGTTGTTTACCCAGTTTTTTTTAAGTTATATGCCAAATTTGTATACTACTGTTTATCACCAGTTTTATTAAGCTATCAAGTAGTTTGTTAACTAAACTCAAACAAGCATCACAAACCTTATTAAAACAGAAAATAACTTGCGTAAATCCGATTATCTTATTAAGAGGGGAAAGTTTGAGAGTTGCTTGGCTTCTGATCTTTGTAGGCAAATGTCAAACTGAGAAAATGTCGAGGAGGCGGTCAGCATTGTCGAGTGACTGCAATACTGTACAGTACGTGAATGCTTAATATGTATTTATTTTGTTTTAAATATTTGATAGACGAGAAATGAACTCTTTAGTAACAAAAATATACTAAAAAAAAGGAAATTTTAGGAAGACATTTACACAAGTGAAAGGAGAGTGTTGGGCATTGTGCAATCCATCCAACACAGCTTGATCCGGAAATAGCTTGGGCAGGGAGCAATGTTTCTTCTACTTGTTGCCACTGAGAGTTGCTAGTAAGTGCGGTAACTTACTGGTTAATTGCTGGTATTTTGTCCAACACAATTATGCATTGCGGACATATAAATATTTCAAAGTAAATAGAGAGTGTTACCAGTGGTCTTTGGGTATAAGTACAGTATACATGCCAATATATTGCATTAGTGCTTCAAAGACTACATTAACAGATCAATTAATAAAAAAAAACTGTCCACTTTAACATATGTTAACAGATTTAAGGTTATAAAGGTAAAACACTGTGAAGTACTATATTGGGATATATCTAGAATGCAAATTTTCATTCGACAGTATTATACGAGTACCTTGTATGCTTCAATTACAACACCTGAACCTGACAGGAAGTTGGCTTTCTCCTTGTAGCAGACAACAGTACTGTATTCCAAAGACCATAAACATACATTTTAAAATTATAATTATGAATTGATCCTTCTACTAAATAATGTCTAGGCGTATGTCATAAGCGTTTAACCATATAACCACGTCGAAAAAATATTTTAATATCTTAATATGATACACTCAGAAACAAGTCTGAACCAGCGATTTACGAAAACCTTGTCTTCGTTGTCAGATTTTCCCCTAGTTTTATATTAAAAAGATTATACGGGGTATGGTTAATTAGTCTTTAAAGTATTTGGCTTAGTATATGTAAAGGGGATTTTTGTACGACAGCCTTCACATAATGATTAATTTAACTCTGACGGAAAAAAAGAAGTGGTGGCGGCTTGCTTAATCCCTCATTGTGCTGAGTTTGTCCTTTACAGTATTTTCCAGTGTTGTGTTAGTACAGGAGAAAATATTTGATGTTTGGTAGAGTCACACTGGATAACCTCCTGCTCACATTTGTTCCGGGAAAAGATATACATGGCCTACCTCTGTACCACCAGCTATTTTAGTATAAATATTTGTACCCTCAAAGTTTGTGTAGCGGTGCATGTTGATTTGAATCCTTCCATTCGTCAGTCCATGTTTTGTTTCTTGTTTTTTTAATATTAAGTACAGTACTGTAAAGTACCGAGTGTAGAACAAAGAAAGCTTGGGGGTTCCTCAATGTATCCTTAGGGTACCTGCTGACGTTCTCAATTTTTTTTTTGCATTAGTGCATTGTTTGGGGCGCATTTTTACTTAAATTCAATTTGCATTTATTTTCAAGCGAAATTTCCGTAAAAGGCTATTGGTTGTCCAGAGTAATGTGAACTTGAAAATACAGTATTTTCAAGTACACATTCTAAAATATGTAAGTAATATTTTTTTCCTACGTTACTAAAGCATAAAATAGTCATAATTATTTGGTACGTGCATTTGGAAAAAAAAGCTATATGGCACCCTTTTTCGTGGATATCCCCCCCTTATGCTTCAGCTGGACCTGCTACTGCTGATGATTAAACACCCTATAGCTACCTAGAGGGGATAGTCTAACTTTAGGGTGGTTACCTTAAAAGTTAAATAAGTTGAGGAGCCAAATCTTCATGTTATTTATTTCTACAAACAAAATATTCTGTAGGCTTTGGTTGAAATGCTCCAGAGCATTTGAGTTAGATATTGATTAGAAAATCAAAACTGTTACCACCATGTTGCTTATGTTTTTCATATTAATTGTCTTGGGGTAGAAATTGGTGCTTTAGGTGCTGTGATACTTTTACCAAGTGCAGGAAAGTACACCAAATGGGTAAGCTGTACCTGGCACTTATGCTTTGTTATAGACGCATTTCAAAATACAGGTACTGCATATAAAAGTAAGCCTATACTTTTTCGTTGAACCACTGTATCACTTAAACATTAATACTTAAGTTTTCAACAATATTGCATTGTGCCTGCTATCATATTTATAATATAATACACGTGTGTGTGTGTGTGTGTCGTTCTAAGGGCCATTCACAGTCGTTACACCACCTGACAGACCGTGAGTACCGTCGTGTGGTTATTCAGAGACACTTCCTGACCCGAAGGAGTTCAGAGAGACTGCACCATGCTTCTACGCATACCCACATGCTGGGTGTGTGGGTGGGTTAGCTGCTTGGGTAACTTAGGTCGTAGGCTCACACAGTTTATATTCTGCTGTCATTGTACAGGGTTGTTCCCTTGCTCCCTGCTGTTTTTGCATACAATTTGTTTTATGCAATACTGTACCAGGACACAATCGGCCAAGAAGACAGTGTTAAAATGTAAAAAGTGATTATAATTACGTATTGTATAGCCTACTGTGCTGTACATTCAGTAAGTGTGAAAGCAATGTAAATAGCAATGGACAGTGTATGCCTAGCCTGTACTGTGTACTGTAGAGGTTTATGTATAGTATACAGTGCATGTACAATCACTCATTCATTGAGGGAGAGGAGAGTGGCAGTGGCTTTTGCTGCAGTAGATGGTACAGGCAGGACAAAGCAGGCCATCCTGTATCATCATATCACCATTTGGCCTACTTGCATCATATGCTCAAGACAACAGCATCTGCTGGTGAGTACAGTATAATGTATACAGACATACCCCAGGTTATGGAAGGGTTCCGTTCCTGAAAATCTTTCTTTAACGCAAAAACCAATTTTTCCATATACTATACTACCAGTATAAAAGTTGGTGTGTTCTTACGGAAAAATTTTGAGGCCCAAAAATGTGTGAAATTAGATGGTTTTAACCATATACAAAAGAGTCATTCATAATGTAAAATGATAATAATTGAACAAAACACTCTAATTTTACTGATCAGAAATGATGTCGAGTGTTCCAGGAGGTGAAGTTGTGGGATCCGAGTTACCATCTTAAAACATCAAGTTTCATGTCCAATGTAATTTCTTTATGGAATCTTTTATCACCACTGGTTTCACTTGAACGCAATGGTATTTTTCTGCACATCTTTAATATGGATACAAAGTAACAAAGATGCATAACCGAACACAAACTGGGGAAGAATTCAAACTGAGCAATGCCATTGTTGTTGTGGGCCTGGTATAAGCTGATGAGGTGAGCCGGGCAGGCAGCCATCTTGTAGCTACCACTAGAATCCATATGAAATAATTGTTTATAATTTGACGTTTTTTATATTGCTTTTTTTTGTTTTGATAATCTCAATAAATCAACCATAATTCCATCAGGGCAAATACAGTCCTGAACACAAGCTGGAGAAAGAATTCTGAGCAGCACCATTGTTGTGGTGGTTGCTGGCAACTGGGGAGGAGAGCAGCCTTCCAACCTCCTTTGGCTACCACAGAGAATCCACGCGATGTAATTTTTAAAATTTTGCCAAAAATATTGGTAAAATTTTTTTTTTAATTAAAATTTGCCCAAATTCCATGTACATGTACAGCTCCTCCCCGACTTACGACCTACTAGACGTATGTCCACCCGCACTTATGACCTGCCTCAGTCGTACCAAAATTTGGTCAAATTACATATTTTCGAGTCCCAAAGTCAGTAGACAAAATTTTCATATGTACTTCACTTTAAAATGGCTGGCAAGCTTAAAAGTGAGTGTTTTGTGAAAAAAAGAGACCCCCATTTTCGATTTTCTATGTTATTTAAGCATTTCCGACTTACAACCTGGATGTTGGTCCCTAACCCGTCAGGGAGCAGCTGTACAGTGGTGTGCTTAAATAAATACAGCAATGTGCAAGATGTGTAGCTTAAATATATTGTTTCTCACTTTGATCTTTTTTTTCATTTTTGTGTTTCTTTATTATTGTATTGTTATTTTATAATATTTTATTGTTTTTATTTTTTATTATAAATTTTTCTTATCTGAATTATTATTGTTATTCCATTTCACCCCCCCCCCCCCAGGCCCCGATGTGGGTCAGTGATCTGTGCTCGGGTGGGCTAATCCCCATAAGAAAAAAATAAAATAAAAATCCAAAAACTTTCCCCCTAACAAGCAGATTGTCTACAAAATGTATATTTGTAAAAAAAGAAAAGAATGATTTAGGAGAAGTGAATCACTTAAGTTGATAAATTTATTTTATTGTAGGTATTTTCTAATCACATTGGTAAGAAAAATATAAACCTGATCCCAAACACTATAGATGAAGTTGGCACTAATGTTTCCTTTTTGTGCTGATATCGTTTGTGATTAATAGTTGCTTGTACAGGAAGTTTGAGTGAAATACAGATGAATTGTTCATAACAATGGGCTTGTTTACAATTGCAGTTAATATATATATATATATATATATATATATATATATATATATATATATATATATATATATATATATATATATATATATATATATATATATATATATATATATATGGTGATCCCTCGGTTAACAAAATTTTGGTTAGCGAATTACCTTCCATAAGAATCTTCAATTCGGTTAACGAAAAAAATTTGGTAAACAAAATTTTTACGAAATCATGTCCACATGTTTTCGCTTGCGCATCAACTGGAAAATTAGTCCAGTAATCAGTTCTAGGGCTTAAATTCGTTCCCATTTGAGTAAATATCAAAAAGGTTGTGCTATTCAATAATTTTATATTAAATAGTTTTATATTAAAATTTTTAGTCATTTTAACACTTATTTAACATAATTGCAGTACAGGAAACTAGTTTTTGGTGTGCCAATCAGCCACTTGACTCACCCACTGACTCTGGTCAGTGGAGGTAACATCTTGCTTGTGGCTCTCTTGAACATAAACTACTTTTACGTTTTTACAGTACAATTATTGGTCATTCTGAAATTTATTTTACACATTGACAATATATAGTGCAGTGCAGTGTTGATTTAAAGAAAATAATCTTGAATTACACCAAGTGAACTTAAAATTTTATGGGTGAAAGGACGGCATCAAGCATGGGGTGATTTCTCTTTCACCTCCTCTTCCTTCTTTTCTCTCTTCTCCTCCACCCCCACTTCTAATTCCCATCATCAACCGGGAGCCTTCTACATACACACCTCAAAGTAAGTGTACTTTACTGCATTTATTTTTAGTTTGCATGTAATTTTCGGTGAGCTGGAACCAATTACCCAAAATCCCATTGAAACAATGGTTTTGGTTAACGAACGACCTTCTGGAACGAATTGTGTTCGTTAACCGAGGGACCAAAATATATATATATATATATATATATATATATTAATTTTTGCCACTTATCAGCTTACTAGCCATTTGGGTGGGCTATCCAGTTTTAGTACAGGAGGAAACCAGGGACTGGAAAAGCTGTGATGTTTGGTAGTGTTACACTGGATAGCACCTGTCTCATGTGTCTAGGCTGAGGCTCAAACCCTTGACATACATTGTTGGTGAGAGTTATGCACGTTACCACTGCTCCATCAACACCTACATGGGCGGAATGCTTAGCTCTAGTTACCATATGGACGGAGTAAGTTTTACCATGGTTAAAATTCACAGCAATGCGATAATGTGACTTAAAAGTAAAGAAGAATAATAAGATTACTATATACACATGTTTAACCAGTCACAGCATTATGGACGGAAGGAAAGCGGAAGAATCAATGCAAAACTTAAGTACCGTACTGTAAATAGCAGGTGCAGAAAATCCAAGATATCTTGTTGGAAATCACTCAAAAAACTATACAAAATTGTGTTGAAAAACAAAATAAATAAAATAAAAATAAATAAATACAAAAAATATAAAATTTGACAAAAAAAGGGATTTTGGCAACCCTACCATAACCCCAAGTAGAGGTAGTTTTTTGAGTGACTGTAATATACCCAGATATATTTATGATCTAAAAATTAGAAAGAAACTAAAATACTACCTATATCTTTTGTGGATTCAAGAAGTGCAGTACACCAAGTAGGTAAATGCATTTTGCGACACTGAAAATGCCTCGTTAGTACTGCACGGTACAGGACTGGTAGAATACTTAAGAATTTAATTAAAATAATTAAGTTAACTTTAATGATTGATTAAAAAAAAAAAAAAAAAAAAATTACAGTAAAGATCAAAATGCTTGTTAAAGGAGATATTTAGAATACTGTATTTAGATACAGTACTGTATATTAAAAATTATGCAAAGTATATATTTGCATGTCTTAACTTAATCTACTTTGGTTTCAGATACTGTACAGTATCTACAATTCAAGCTATATTTAACTTATATATCTACATGACCCATGGTAATTTTTCAGAAAATTGGTATTGTACTAATCCTATTTACCTTAAATTTGTTTTGATATTTAATTTTTTGTTTCTACTGTATTCTGTTTCAGACGGGTTAGATAAAATCCAAATATGAACTCTTAAACTATTTAAGATTTTTTCTTGTCACTGTAACTAACTTTTAAGGCAAACACATTACAAGTCTGAATTGGCAACTGCATTCTAAATCAGTGATGCAATACAGTCATGTAATATCTTTGTTTTTAGAACAAGTTAAAGATATGTCAAGTCAAATGACGTTATTTTACAGCATAGACTGGTTAAGAATGATGAGCGAATCAAGATTTATGGCATGATGGACCTATCACCCATTCATAAATCTGAGATTTATACTGTAAGCCTTCAGGTATTACAGAATGCTGAGATTTTCATTAGTCTGGTTCCTGGAATCAATAGGTTATTTTGAGCATGTAGTCAAAGATAATTTATGCTTTGGTTCCCTCAAGAGTAAAGACTCCATGACTTTGGCGGTAAGACTCTTTTCGTTTCTGGATACGGTACTCCACCCAGAACAGTACTGCTGCCACGAACTCTGCTACCACACCTACAACAGCTGTCCAAAAAAGATATGTTTTACTGACAGAATCGAGTGAAAACTTTATTCATGTGAAGTTACATACCATACATAAGCCATACTGTAATCTGATTGTTATTATTATTATTATTTGTAGGGGGGGATATCAGGATATCACCAGGAAAGTATTAGCTAACCTTATTTTATCATAGCATTATTCATAATTTCCTATGTACAGTACAGTAAATATTAGTGGCAGAATTTTTATGGGAGATAGTATATTTACCTAGACCAAAGGACCAAGAGAGGTGGTTGTGGTCCCAATGAGGCATCCAGTCTCTGTTGTCACCCATCACTCCAAAGATTATGACAGCCAGGAACCCGAACACCCCTGCCGGCACAAGACCACGTAATACTTCTTAAAAAGAAAACAAATAAATTTTTAACACAACACCACTTAGTATTGTATATGTACCTTTTTTTTTAACACTATACAATATTTACATCTTCACCACTTGCAACAACTTCAGTACAACAAATGTAATACCTTTACCTTTCTTCCAACACAATTCCACATAACTACCGTACTGTAAATAATGGTTGCCCCTCGTGTAACGAGGATGGCTGGCCCAGCGGCCCAAGGAACACCTAGGCGTGAATTTGTTTAAGGTGTAGAAGTTGTCGCCAACACATAAACCACATCCTAAGTTAATGAGTTGCATGACCCAGTGTCAAGGAATAGTCCGAGAAGACCGGACAACTCGCCAACTGCCCTGGCTAGCCATTACCCCGGAACATGATCTGCAAATCGATTTACATCCAGGTTCCCAATTACTGCTGGGTATACAGAGGCATATGGGGTAAAGAAACTTGCCCAAAAGTTTCACCCTGCCCGGGGATCAAACCCAGGTCCGCTCACATGCGAGGCGAACATGCTGACCATTTTATCACAGGTCGCCACAGCTACTGTATAATACCTTCAACACGCCACCACATACAGTGGTCCCTCGGTTAACGAATTACCTTCCATAAGAATCTTCAATTCGGTTAACGAACAAAATTCGATTAACAAAATCCTTACGAACATCACATTTTGTTGTGAGCATCAGTTGATGGGCTAGTCTGCCAATTCAGTAATCTGTTCTATGTTTACATTCGTTTCCAGCGAGAAAATATCAATAAAGTTGTGCTCTTTAATATCTTTGCATTTTTTATATTAAAATTATGAGTCATTTTAACATTTATTACATATTGATAATATATGCAGTACAGGGAACTAATTTTTTGTGCGCCCATCAGATGCTTGACTCGGCCACAAGGCATCAGTTGGGCTCTGTTGACAGTAAAGTGAACATCTATTTTGTTGGTGTCTTGAATATTTTTGCATTTTTCATTTAAATTATTGGTCATTCTGAAATTTAGTTAACATATTGATAATATATAGCAAATTGCAGTGTTGATTTAAATAAAATAATCTTGACTTACGCCTACTAAACTTAAAATTTTATTGGTGAGATGACGGCATCAAAGGGTCCCCTGGAAGGTGATTTCTCCTCCATTCCCACTTCCTTCTCTTCTCCCTTCTCCTCCACCCCCACTTCTAATTCCCTTCATTATCATCAACCAGGAGCCTTCTACATACACACCTCAAAGTAAGTGTACTTTACTACTTTTTTTTTTTACTTTGTACCGTATGTACTTTTCGGTGAGCTGGAACCTATTACCCAATATCCCACTGAAACAATGGATTTAGTTAACAAACGACCCTCTGGAACGAATTGTGTTCGTTAACCGAGGGACCACTGTACTATAAACACCTTCAACACAACACCACATATATACTATGCAATACCACATAGCTACTTTACAATACCTTCAACACCACACATATACTACACAATACCTTCAACTCAACCCCACATACTATACAATACCTTCAACATAACCCCACATACTGTATGTTCAACAAAAATGTTTAGAGTAGCTTGTTCAACATTAGATTACCCACATCACTTGCAACATTTTTAACACAAAAACATTGAGTCTCACCTCATCATCGTTTATGGCAGTTTCAACTTGCCACCACCTCAAAAACGCACCTTACAGCACTCTCTGACAACCACTCGCAACACTCCAAATATCTACTTGACACACTACACACCCATTCTTCAACACAGTCATGCACAACATTCCTCACACACAACAGATAGAACATTATTCACAGAACTTGAAAAAATACAACTCAAGACAATGCTCACGACAATACTGTATCTACAGCTGTATAATAACACTTGCAACATGTCGCATACTGTACAGTAAAACAACCAGAATTTTTTATCAATACTACTCATATTAATTTTCTCAACACTATTACTCACAACATTAATTTACTCAACACTATTACTCACAACATTAATTTACTCAACACTATTACTCACAACATAATTTAGTCAACACTATTACTCACAACATTAATTTAGTCAACACTATTACTCAGAACATAATTTACTCAACACTATTACTCACAACATAATTTACTCAACACTATTACTCATAACATTAATCTAGTCAACACTATTACTCACAACATAATTTACTCAACACTATTACTCACAACATAATTTACTCAACACTATTACTCACAACATTAATTTACTCAACACTATTAATCTAGTCAACACTATTACCCACAACATTGATTTACTCAACACTATTACTCACAACATTAATTTATTCAACATGAGCCCATTCACAAAATCAATTCGCCCACGTTCCAATACTATCCATCCCTCATGAAGCAGGAGACAGAGTATTGATTATAACTACTGTACACTATAGTACTGTTCTGTAGTTAGACATGATAAACTTGAGACCACCTAAATGCTTTAGCACTACCAAGTTTAATGTTAACTAAGTTTATAACGTACATCGAATCGAGTTTGTTGTAAAATACTGTTGTACTTGAAGGAGTTTAGTTTATTATACTGTACAAGTGATTAAAATGATACAATACCTAAGATTTCATACAAACGTACATGTCATTAATAGATCAACAAAACAGCAGATGGTCACCCTTGAATAAATTACACAAGTTAAATCATTGTTTAGTTGTCAGTACTGTACCAACAGTTTTTCTACCATGAATAAACCTGGGATGGAGGAGCAACTTACAGGAGATGAAGAGATCAATGTAGGCAATCTTGAGAACAGACCTCTCAAAGTCCTCACCAGGGCAGAGAACCAGGATACCTGTAAGTGCTGCTCCAATCAGCGACAGGGTGAAGCAGAAGGTGAAGAACACTTGCACTGTCACAAAGAACGCTGCAAGAAGAATGTAAACATCGCTGTTATCATCTGAGTTTTTTTTGGGGGGGGGGGGTAAATGTGTACAAGTTTTAATGATAAAGGCGGATTTTTCACAGTTATACTTTGGATATTACTAATAAAATCAATACAGCTTTTTATTTTCATTATATGGTACTTTCTTTTTCTCGACCAACGATCATAAATCACCTGTAGTGGGTAGGGCATGAAGGAAATGGCTGAGTAAAAACAGGGCAAAAAACTGTTCGCATGACACTTAAAGCAAGTCTCTGTGTTTTGTATGTGAAGAAATTTATTCTTTACCACAAATGTTCTGCCAAAAATTCTTGTTTGTCAGTGCGTACTTGGTGTTGTTCTTTGATCGCTTTAATTTTTAATAAACGATGGAGCCTTATATTGTGGATTTTATGACCTTCATTATAGGCTTGAAAGCTCCCCTTTTTAACAGCCTTCACTATTCACAGTCGTGTATCTATGACCTGTGCAATAGGTTCTTAAACCTATCATGGGTTTTGATTAATTTCCTAAAGCTTTCGAGCTAGCTCAAGGAGGAGGACCTGGGGAGAAGCCATATTGTTTCTCAATGGTGTCCTTATCGCGTTGTGTTACGTATCGTGTCACAATTTATCTGTGCTTGTGGAGGATGAAGATTGTCTCTTAGAGGGTTGCAGCCCAGTTCGGCCCATGAAATACCAACTCGGATAACCAATTTGTACCACTTAGGTTAACGAACTCGGACGAAAAAGTAAAAGTTTACACATTTTTTGCATGAACGATAAAGGTACAATGATAATAAGCAGCATAAATAGGTAAAACATTGGTTTGGAAATAGAGTAGTGGACGAGTGGAACAAGTTACCAAATATCATCATTAACTCGAATACGCTGGATAGCTTCAAACATAGGTTGGATGGATATATGAGCAATAGGGGTTGGGTGTAAATGGGACTGCCCAGTATGGGCCAATAGGACCGCTGCAGTTTCCTTCATTCTTGTTCTTATGTTCTATTTCCCTGTTTGATAGCTGCCTACTATCTCCTGCCATAAGGTGTAAGGGATGTTCTCAAGATTTAGGGTACAGCCACCACTGTGGTTTCTCTTGTGTTAATACACATTCAAGTTTCCAGGCATTTGTGAATATCAAGACAAAAAGTTATGAACCAACCTCGCCTCATCCCACACTTGCTTGATCTAGGTGGCAACTTACGCGTCTGTAGCATCTCCCGCACGTCTTCATAGCCTGTAGTGAAGGGGTCGAAGAGCCAGCGGCACCCAACGAAGAACCTCTCTCGATACACGTCCTTATCCACAGTAAAACTACGGAAGCACTGCGTCCACAAGCCTATTCTGTCCATGTCGGTGCCATATGCCTTGTTTTCCGCTTGCAGCCAATAAGTGGTGAACATGGCAATGGCTATAAACACAAAAGCCAGGACATTGAAGCCGATAGCCCACCAACCAGCTGTGGTGCGCCTCTCTCTTGGGGGCACAACCATCCTGTCACAGCCCTAAGCGATATTGTCACACCACCACCCTTGAACCCACCTCCTCACTCACCAGCCCACAGCAGTTTTTAGTTTCTCGTGGTAACAATTATTTGGGCCACATACGACACCAGTGCTATTGTCCAAGATGCTTCTATTAGATTTTTCTGGCAAGACTTTTTTTTTCTTCAATTTGTTGTTATATTAACGGATTGGTTGTTTCAACTGGTTTTCGATGTTGTCACGGGGAGAAACTTACAGTATCACTTTGGTGTTGTGATAGTCAACCAATATCAGTGGTGCACAGTGTAGGTAATGTTTTCACAGCACAGTCTGCTTGGGTTGGCGTGAAATCTCGTGCTATTGGGTGTCACACTTCCTGTCTTGCTGCACTAAAGCACACGCCAGGAACCATTACCACACCCTACCGACTTCTAGTGCTTTTTCTGCTCATTCCCAAAATTTTACTGACTAAACGTGTACCAGGAGCATTTTCAAATATTTCATGCATTCAGACACGCATCAATCACTTTCATAAGAGCAGCGAAGTTGTCTTAAAACAGAGAACTCTTCAGAACAGTCCACCCCAATGTTTTGTTTGAGAAGGTTCGTTGTCGCGTACGTGTCTAGCCTCTCTCGGGGCTCAAGTAAACTCCACACACCTGTCCAAGGTTGGAAGTACCAAGGGTACAGTACAATTTATTTTACGATTAGGTACATATTTTTATAACATCTTTTATTCATGCTGATCTTTCTAGTATAAGTGTCCCTAATTTTGAAACAAAAGATGTATGCGTACAAATTCAAAACACTTTTCATTTTCAAATTCCGAACCTCCCAAAGTTCGTTTCTGTTGCCCTAGCATTGTGCATTCCAATTTAATTTACCCATATATCTTTTAATTAAATTATCTTTACAATATACTATGTAAATAATTGATTTTTATAAATCGATACACAAAGTATTAGAAACTCGTCGTGGCAACAGCGCGGCAGGAAACTGGGTGTTGGCTGAGCAAGGCGGGAGGATTTAAACGCGTCTCCTCCGTGGCCGGGTGGCCCGCCATAACAAGGGAGGTGCGACTGTGGGAGTAGTGTGACTCACCGAGGACTCGTCGGGACCCACCACAATGATCCTACCCTGCTTCCTGTAATGTCTTGCTGTTTTCTTTTCTCGTTTACAGTCTTAGGGCCTTTTTAAGATTTAAATACAATGTGATCCTTTAACATTGCAGGAAAGATTGATTTTACACACTCACCAGTGGATAACACCAACACATATAAGAAGGGGAAAACATACATGACCGCGTATGGCACATAAAGCACAGAGAGAAAACATTACCTGAATGCGTATGGCACATATAGCACAAGTTTACAGACACGTGATAAGATGATATAGGTTGGATAAACACCACCACAATAACACAAGTCGAGGTCACCAAATAATAAATGCATAGAGTTAAGTTTCTGTGTACAGGGTACATGGATGCGAACATGCAATATACAATCACGAGCAGTAGTCGTACAGGAAAATTTTCCCCTTTTAGGGGAAATTTGCCCTTAGAGAGGGAAGAAAAATTAAAATTGGTCCAAATCGAGGGAAATATGGCAATGAAGGTATTTTGAAAAAGTGCCAAAATATTTCGTCGACGATTTACGTTTGCTAGTTCGCGTCCAATACGAAGGTAGGATGAATTTTACTATCGCCATAATATTAATCACAGAGCACAAGTGTACATGGAATCAAGTGAACATAAATTGTGCAGCGGAAAGAACTGCATATTTCAGAGTCCAACCTGTACCTCCGAGAGGTAGTGCTCTCCCAGAAATGATAATTATAAGATACCTGTAGTTACTTACGCCGTCTAACCTGGTCCGCGATGACATGCATCTCCTCGTCGAGAGTCCAGTAGCAACCATCGTAGGTCCTGTCGTAGCGGTAGGTGTAGTCATGGTACTGCGTGAAGCATACCTCCCACAGTCCTGCGGGAGGGAAAGTGAGACGAGCACAGAGTTAATGATCTCATACATACGCCTATCGGTGGGTTGGCATCGTACACGTAGGTTATTCAGTGCTGTGAAATAAAAGTATACATTTTCTTTAGGGTCAGAGGTATGGTACTCGGTAGCCTGTTGGTGAATAATGAAACTTCCATTACTTTTGTATGTCCAAAATGTTTAGCAAAGTGAAGTGCTGATGTGAAAGTGTGGGGATCAAGGCCTATTTTTACGGTTCTGGGCGTGTCCTGACTGCTCGAGCACAGCAGTGTCATTTTACCCTGTGTCGGTGATCGCTACCGCGTTAGCCTTTAACATAATCCTATAACATCTTATTACTCCATCTACTCATCCTACCTCACTTTTGTTTTTCAAATGTATTCTTACCTTCTCCTATACTGTATATTCACGTCCACATGGCAAGTAAAATTCCACCACCTTCCGGCGTGGTGGAAATGCAATTAAGGTGTTTGCACGAGAGGTATACTGTAGTACAGCTTTCATAATTCTTAATTGTTGGTGACTAGTGTAATAACTAATCTGTTATACACGCTTAGTGACTTTCGTTGTTGAAATGCATTAATACATTATTAACATCAACATGGTAGTGTCACAAAATCACACATATCGGTTGAAACTCCCCCACCCCCCATACAGTAGGTAGGTGAGTGTTACAATCTGCGTATTAAAGTACATTTTACAAACTTATTTCTTCATTATGTTATATATATATATATATATATATATATATATATATATATATATATATATATATATATATATATATATATATGCAAGTCAATCACTGTAGGTGCGCGTGATCTAGGTATATGCTGATAACCACAAGGAAAGAAGAAAACACGAAGTTCCCAAGCGCTTTCGTGTAATTCACATCTTCAGGGGTGAGTACAGCTAGTCTGTACTCCCACAACGAGTTGTGGTTTTTTCAAAATAACCAGAAGCAAGATTTTACTATAGGTTAGGGTAAAATCCAAACGCAAAATTTCGCTTTCTAGTTATTTTGAAAACAACCACAACGGATTGTGGTCCATAAGTGATTACCCTAAAAACAGTATGCCCTCATGCTTTAATCAGGGTAATCATTTATGGACACCCTGTACTGTATTTTGAGTTTAATGTACTCCCATATATCGGCCTTAAAGAGCCAACATTTACGGACGTTAAGCATTGCTAAACCAAAAAAATCATTGATTATGCCAAAATCAGATCTGTATTAATAAATCGGCTGTTTTCTTTTTAATGATCTGTATACTTAACTCTTTGTCATGTAACCTAAAATTATCATTTGGAGGTTATTAAAGGCCATGCTGCCAACAATCCAGGATAATTAACTTTGCTGAAATCGTTAGAAAATCCCGGGAGTTGGCAAGCATACATAGATGAATCTGCTCCATTATAAACAGTGCATAACCACGAGATGACTTTTGAATCCGCATTTAATAAAGAGCTATCTTGGCATGTAAGTTTTGGCCTTAATGCAGAAAATTTATGTTGGCTGGTAGCACATGTCACACATGGTATAATTTGTTTATACTCAATATGAAGTGTCAGGGATTTAACATTTCTTTCTATTTTTACGTGTTATCTTTGAATCTTGTCTATTGACACTGTAAAACAAAGGTTGAGGTGCAGTATATGTGTGTGTGTGTGTAATTTGTGATTTTTATTATTAACAGTTAACCTGTACTGTACATTATGAAAATGCCACAGGAAGAATGAAGAATGTCTCGGGGATTAGAAGATCTAAGTAATGCAGTTATAACCGGCTACGGTTATTCTTCCTTCCTTAGCCCCTTGATAATATTTATACTGTATATACTTGTCACACTTGCCAGATGCTTATGGTGCCATTGTACAGGGGTACCTAGTGACAGCACTAGGATCCCGCTTCCTCTATCAAGGAATAAACAATTGAAATTGAAAATTGAATTGATGCATATACAGTACAGTACATACTGTGCAGTAATCCTAGCTAAAAGTTTTTTCTGTAAATACATTCGGTTCCACTGTTTTACAGTACCGTATACTAATAGGTTATCAAATATTTCTTAACGAGATTTAATGTTATATTGATTCCAAATGAAGATTACCTTTTAAAATAAATTGCAATCCTAACTGAATTTTCCAGGAGGGATTCAGGAATAGGTCTTCATTGCACTTGTTGTTTCCTAGTCTCCAGGTGAACATGTGTATCATCACCTGCATTTTGTGAATTATTAATAAAGCAACCTGGTATATTCCTATTGTAAGTATACTGAGATGACTTACGAGACAATGACAAAGGGTAAAGACGGGACAGTAACTTACCAGTGTTGAGGAAATGACCTTCCTCCATCTCGCCGTCATTCGCCAGCCAATAAGGCGAACAGAAAGATATTATGATGGAAATAAATGATAACAAGAAGACGGAGGGTCCCCATGGGTAAGTCGTTGGCTCGAAAGTCTCGTAGGAACTCATTTTGGTCAGTGTTTTTCAAGCAGCCCAACAATCCTCACTCCCCACAACACGACTCCAGTTTACTGTGTTGTGGTAAGTTTCACAGCACCCTGTGTAGTTGCCACCACTCGCTATTATCCCGTCTAGTTTTCCTCTTAATCACTATATAAGCTGCAGCGTATTACTAGGAATGGGTGTTGATATTTACGTTAAGTATTCAAATGTAACGATTTATATGGTACTTGTTATTAAAAAAAATAATGTAGCATAAATAACTTTAAACCAATATAACCAGTACCTCGGGTTAATTAGGCGACGTTGCCAAATTTACAGGTAGACTATTTCAAAGGAGGGGCCAAGTTAGTTTTACAGAAATGATGTTTACTTTTAAATTGGCGTGTACTGTAAATCGGTCTATTGAATAAAATTGTATCACCAGAATTTTAGGCAAGGATTTCTTAAGTAATCAAATCTTCATCATAAGGAAGCCACAGCAACTGTAATTTACATATTAATTTTGGGGGAGCGAAGTCGACAGATATATTTAAGACTACTAATACTAATTTTCACAAGAAAATTAGTAATTCTCAACCAATCAGTGGTGAAATTAATTTGAATTGCGGTAGAGTACGACCTCGTCTTTTTACCTTGTGTATTTGTATGGGGTTGTAGTCGTTTCACTGATATTTTATTCCAACGTAAATCAATATTACATTTTTGGGGGACAACTGAGAAAGATGAAAGGAATTTTGAACATTCACTGTAATAATACTTCTGTATGATCATAATGTGTAGAGACAGCTGGCAACTCAAGGCCGTTTGTTTACTATACAGTAGTACACAGGTAAAATTATGAATGAATGTAAAAGCCCAACCAATAATTAAGCAACGGGGAACCATTAATTCATAATTTTTACTACATACTATAGTAAACAAACGGCCTTGAGTTGCCAGCTGTCTCCAGCCGTGTTCGAAGAATCTTGAAGGAGACTGTACTTACTACCTTAGAATATTTCCTCAACACACATGATTCAATGGTGGTAAAAATCCAAGAGCACAGTATGATGTACAAGGCATACTAACCAGTGTCTTACTTGGCTTAAGTCAGTAGGAAATTGTACCCTAATACTTTTTTATTGTTTTACAGTATGGTACGAACCAACAGATATCCAGAAGGTGACGAAGCCGTGGTTGGGTGGGCGAGGAGACAACGTTACATTCACCTCACCTAACATGAACGAACTTGGTGCTTTGTGTTCTCACCTTGGACTTGGTAAACATAAGTTTAATTGAGAAGAGCAACTTTATATTTTTTGTAGAATTATAAAGTAAGTGGGTGTTAATATTTACATTCCATGGAATGTGTAAGGTAAGCTTGTTCCCATTATCAGTTAATTAAAAATGTCCAAAGGAGGGCCACCAGACTGATGCCTGCACTTTGGCGCCTCAGCTATCCAGAGAGATTAGAGCGCCTGCAACTGCCTAGCTTATACTACAGATTTGCAAGGGGAAACCTAATTGAGTGTCCATACCTGTAGCTGGCGGATGCCCGCCCCACAAGGAGTCACAGCTCAAGGTTGAAGAAGCCGCAAGTCCAGAAAACTGTGAAGGCGAACCTTTTAGGAGTAAGGACACTCGACTGAGTAGTGCCCTTTGAGATGTTTATACACCTCAATTAGGTTTCCCCTTGCCCGTTTGTAGTATAAGCTAGGCAGTTGAAGGCGCTCTAATCTCTCGGGATAGCTGAGGCGCCAAAGTGCAGGCATCAGTCTGGTGGCCCTCCTTTGGACATTTTCAATTAACTGCCAGTCCCGAGCATATCTTTGGGACCAGTCGGATGACAGTACTCCAGGCGGGAAAGCACCTCACACTTGAAGATCATTAAGAGGGACTGACTGTCTAGATATCTGAACGACCTTCTTATATGACCTAATAATTTAGTTGCCTGATTCACCTTCATCTCACAATGGCCTGAGAACTTCAGCTCATTATCAACATACACACCTAGGCCCTTTTCACATTGTCTCAATTAGTGCAGTTTCTTCGTCCCCTTAGGACATGATACGCCTCCTTACCGTTGGTACGTCCCAGGTGCAGCCTCTTACATTTTGTTACAATACAACCTTCACACCCTCTTCTAGGACTCAATGAAGGATGTATAGTCAGCCCATTGGCCCATTATATCAATAACTGAATAACATCAAATGAGAGTATGTTGGTTGACATTTATATTACTTAGCAAGAAAAAGCCTGCTCGAATGGAAAAAGTAGTGAAACATGTATATTAAAAACAATAAAATGAAGGGTAATTGTTAATCGATCGTTGGAAAGGGATAAATAGAAGAGATGGGGCAGGATGTTGTAGAGAGTGAAATAATGGGATAATTCTATGACCTAAATTACTGTATATAGATTTTTTCCTGACCTTTATTTTGGTCAGATCAACATACTCGGCTAACTGGGGGTCCGTAACCTGCAGGATATATATAAATATATATATATATATATATATATATATATATATATATATATATATATATATATATATATATATTGTTACTTAAAAGAAAAGTACTGTAAAGTGTCCATTTCTCAGAAGTGCCAACAATACCTGGAAAGTATGAGGATCTCCCCCAAATGCTTCAGCAAGTTCTCACTACTGCCTCTCCACTCCTTCACACCATGCATGCCCTCATGGTTACTCTTGGACCCTATGGATTCATGGTTTGTAATTTATGTGTAGTACTTTGATAATTTTTTTCCCTATTTGTAAGCCTTTTCCCTCCTGGTACAGGGTGACTTTTCATCAATAGCAACACCACTTTTCCTTCATCTGTTTTCATGCAGTCCAAGTGCTATATAAGGTGTGTTCTGCTGTGGTGTTCTTCTTGCCCAGTATAAAGTTCTGTTCCTGAAAAATAGTCTGATCTTCCTAGAATCTGTGCATCTTTTTGAGAGTTCCCCAGTTACCGTGTACTGCCAGATTGTGTTCGTTTTTTTAATGATAACCAGGACAGTATACAGTATATATAAATAAAATGTTAAATATTTTGTAATATCAATAAATTATCGTAATTGTTGTGAAATTTGATTAAAGTAATTACAATGACTATGACAGTCTAATAAAATAAATACTTTTAATATTATTAAGTTAGTTTTAATTTAATGTCACAAAGCAAATTTTTTATTAAAATTTGTAATACAAGAGGACAGAAAAGAGGTCCAATTTCAGAGGCCGTGCACATCAGGTAGTTCCAGGGATGTTCGACTCTGTCGTTCATGCTGGACATGCCGCATGCGGTTCAGTTTTAGCAATTTTCTAGCAGAGCTTTGATTCCTTCACCCACTTGTTTACCTTTCTTGTTAAGCCTTGAAATCATTCATTCTGATTACCGCACCTTTTGATGTCTTTGGTTTTTCTCTTATTTTGACTTCACTTCTGTTGAAGATCTCTATAGCCTGGTCGTAGTATTCTGGCTTTACAATGAGGAAGGAGTTACTGTCATTTGGGTGGTAGCCGGTACCCTATTTCTGGACTATGGCTGTTTCATAATTTATTGTATGTTGTAGCAAACATGACCATGGTGACTGGGTATCCCCGTGTCATTCCCTCAGTTGACTGTATGATGGTATCTCTTCTTAGGGCCTTGCAGCTCATTATACAGTGTAGAGGTCTGTCGGGTTCCTGTAAGTATTTTCAGCATATTTTGCAAAGCTTGGACACTTGATCTTAATATTGTGCAGTTGATTATGTTGGAAGCATTGGAGAAGTACAACTTTCACAGTAATACTGCTCAAATATCTTTCTCGTGGCATAAATGGCAGCTTCTCCCCCAGCCTGGTGGCCAAGCACATACTGTACTGTACTAATACTAATAATGATAACACTACTACTGCTGGGTTGGATGCTCCTGATACTGCTACATGCTGCTAGTGCTGCATCTGTATTCTGCTGCAGCTTCTGTATGCTGTTGCTGCTCCTGTATGCTACTTTTTTTTCCTTTTATCCTCTTCGCCACTGATCGGCTTGTTAGGCGCTTGGGCGATTCGTCACGTCTCTGATTACTTTTCCTTTTCATTAATCTTCTTCACCAAAAGATCGGCTCGCTAGCCGCCCGGGCGATCGGTCACGTCTCTGTCACGCACTGTTGGCAAATACTGGGCATGCACCGGCTCCTGAATGTACCTGAACCCGCTCCAGTGTTGGTCAAGTCGTCTTGTCTTGAAAGAGCTCACACTCGGTGCCGTCACAACACCCTCTGGTAGATTGTTCCAAGAGTTTACAATCCTCACTCCGAAAAGTTTGCCCTCACGGTTTTCTGGACTTGTGGCTTCTTCAATCTTGAGCTGTGACCCCTTGTGGGGCGAGCGTCCGCCAGCTCCAAGTAAGGACGCTCAACTGAGTAGTGCCCCCTGAGATGCTTATACACCTCAACTAGGTCCCCCCCTTGCCCGTCTGTAGTATAAGCTAGGCAAGTTCAGGCGCTCCAATCTCTCAGGGTAGCTGAGGTGCCGAAGTGCAGGCACCAGTCTGGTGGCCCTCCTTTGAACATTTTCAACCAACTGACAGTCCCTAGCATATCTCGGGGACCAGATGGGGTGACAGTACTCCAGATGGGGAAGCACTTCACTCCTGAAGATCGTTACGAGGGACGGACCGTCTAGATATCTGAACGACCTTCTTATAAGAACCAATAATTTATTTTGGTGTGTGCTGCTGCTGTATGATATTGCTACTACTGTATGATACTGTTTCTGTAGGCATCTACTTCTCTTGGAGCAGGGGTTCTCAACCAGGGGGGAATTTCCCCCCTCAGGTTTTCAGAAACTGATACTAATGTGGAAAAAATAAAGGATTTTCAGTATTATATGCATATTATTTGGAATGCACTTTTTGAGGCAGACAATCTTGGAAAGGAGGGGGGAATGACATTCTAACATATGGTGAAAGGGATGCATGGGGCAAACAAGGTTGAGAACCACTGTCTTGGAGTATGCTGCTCTTGCATTTATATGTTGTGGTATACTGTTGTTGCTGCTGTATACTACTACTGCTGTCGCTATATGCAGGTGCTGCTGTATACAGGTGTGCCTCGATAACAGACGTATATAGGGACCGGGAAAAGTCGGATAGTGAATCAACGGTTATCGAAGCAATTAATCCCTTAAGAACATAACAAATTCAGGGGGTTAGGGACTGTCCACCCTACAAAAACTCCCACGTACCCTTGATATACTGTATATCTCTACTTCACAGCGTCAAGCAAAATATAAAGCAGACATGTAAAGCAAGCATAATAAGCCTTAAATAAACAATGTAAAGCATAAATTGAGACTGTTCTTTACTTGTATTGAAGATGGTAGAGACGGTTTAGGGTGGCAAGTTCAAGTCTCTACCAATCTTTGCTGGTCCATTATCACTCTTAATATGCCTTATCACACCTTTTCACATCACATCATGCTGCCCAGCACAAGAGGAACACTGGAGTGTTTAGGCATGATTGAATAACACTAAGTTGGAAGTAACGAAAAAAAACCCCACGAAGTCAGACCCTAGACTGCCTCAACAAACAAAACGAATTTAGAGACAATTGCTGATTGGCTTAGGCCTTAGAGGATGTAAACAAAGATGGTAGTAGAGTTTATTGTTGGCTCTTTTTCACAGTTTGATTCTTTTAATAGTACTGTAATAACAATAATACAGCCTACAGTTACCATTCATATATAATAAATATATCCCGGTATCATTAATACAAGCCCTTACAATTCTCGGATTTTTAATTCGCGAACTTCGATTATTCGCGTATGTCCACTCCCCTAGCCTTTCTTAAACCTTGACTTCAACATCCTTTCAGCCAGGGGGATTGTGACTGTACGTGATTCAGAGTTCTCTCTCAAATATACCATCAGAATTTGAAGAACTTCTAATTTTCCACCTGATTAATTTTCCTGTTGTCTTCCTTAAGTGTTATACTGTAATAGGATTTATTTTTAATTACAAACAATCCTTACTTTTACTTTTGCATCATTATTCTTTGCCATTTTCCACTAATTTGTTTACCGTTTTCTCTAATTCCTCTCCAGGTGAAGAGAATAAAACAAGTGTATATACAATAAAAAGAGTAACAGGTATTATTTGCATACCAAACATTTCATATTACTATAGTGTAATTTGCCATTCAAATTTTATTTTTTCATTACTATTTACAACTTTGCATATTCAAAATTCAGAACATATATAATGCTGAAGATAACATGCATCCTCACTTGACTTTTTTAATCCAAAATGAGCAAGAGATATAGTTATGTACTAAGAATGCAGCTTTTTAATACTGTATACCAGTAAAGGTTTACAGCATACGTATTATAATTGTAATAAAGTACTGTATCTCCAACATTAGTATTGTACTAATTTTTCCCAAGACATTTTTAATTTTATTGTGTATTACCCTGTGCAAGATGTGAAGGATGATAACCAAAAATTAAAAGTTTTTTTTATTTGCAGATTTTGCGCCGTGCATCTCCTAATACTATGGATGATCCTTTATTGCCTGTGACGGATATATGCCCAATAACAGTTACACATGATGAAGTTGTCGGTCTGCATTTTCCTGGACCACAAAATCCCAAAATAATATCAGTGTCTGGGGCTGGGGACTGGTAAGTTTTATTTATTTTTCTGAAATGGCCAGCATCAGTAATATGATATTGAAAAGCTCCGTCTGGCCTTCTTCTCCCTGTCCTTCCCTGTCCTTACAAATTGATGAGCACCAGGACAAACCTATTTCTAAGGCAGATAAGAACACAATTATATCACTGCCTTCTAATTTTAACATATCAATGTAAGTAGCTTCTGATTTTATTACAGCATATATTTAAAAAAATATATATACAGTAGATAGGTACATGATTTGGTTTCAGAAGTAAGTCACAAATTACTTTATTTATTTAGGATTTTTTTTTACAGTTTGGCTGCTGGTTTTATAGCAGGTATGCTGAACAAAAAGAGTGTAAGCGAGTGTGGTGCTCTGGGACGGTCTGCTGCAAAACTGTCACTGGCTGCATCACCAGCTGTTCCCCACACACTTTCACCAGATGCACTTCCTTGGGGTCACCATGAAGTTTTCACCACCATAAATCGAAGTTAACTAATAAACATATTGTGATGAAATTTTCACACAATAATTATTATTTTTTTTCTACTCAATCTTCATAGTGGGATAAAATTAAAATACTGTAAGAAAGGGGTTTTTGGTCAAAATATTTCATATGGGAGTACTTTTAGGCCTCTTTAAAATTAATCCACCAATTTAGAGTGTCTTGTTACTTCCACTGAACAAAATGCCTACTCATGGTTTAAATTTTTAAACATAGTTTACAGATACAGGTAGAGTATCAACTTGCAACCCATACAAGGTCTTAATGTTTCGCAGAACTTTATTGCTCTTTATACATATTAAATTACACATTTCCATATCCCATATTTTAACTGTTCTTTGCATATTACATATGAGTATGTGTGGACCATAACATCGTAGGCGCCAAAAAAGAAAAGTTGCAGAAAACAGTAATCATGTTTTGGAAAATGGAACTCTATCTTTTGAACTAAATGTAATGGTGCAATAATTTTTGTAACAAATATAAGCCTACACACTCAGGATTATGTTGCCATAATCATATAATAATAATCTTGACATGATTATTAGTAATCACGGAAATTATCATAGCCTTAGCAATTTAGCGGCTCTTTCTAAAAGGCCATTGACATAATCTTTTTTTCATACACTGATGAAATTACTGCCTGATTTTCTTTTTCATGACCAACAATGAGAACATGTATGCAACATCTGCAACTTGATGAAATCAACAGTCCAACTTCATATGAGCAACATGATGAAAACAACGATAATTTTGATGATATAATCAGTCTTTTTAGCAAATGGCGAGTGTTTAAATTTGTTTTGAACACTCTCGAGCAATTCCCGATAAGTATTGTAATTATTAAATCATTCCAAATTATTCTAGTGAAATATAGAAATAAAGAAAAATATATATACTGTATCAAGTTATGATTTGGCCTTTTACTCGTACTTTTTTTACCTGTGATGCTTGGGAGGGCCTCTAGGTGTAAGAGGTGCAACCCTGTAAGATTTTGGAGAGCCTTCAAGCATCACAGCAGGAATATCAAAAAGGGGGCTCCAAGAAGTGGGTGGGGAAACATGGGGAGCACAGTGAGCCCATCCCAGCTGATCAATGTCATGGGCATTTTTAGTTAATTTTGAGGCCATGTGCATTTGGTATTAGGAGATATTCTGAGGTCAATAGTAATTACTTTTTACGATACAAAAACATCTGAGTACAATACTGCATTAAAGAAAAAGTATTGAAATTTTCTGATGAAAAGTGGGGTCCAGTCCCCCAGGAAACCCCTCCCTGGATCCGCTCCTGCACAGTTACAGATGTGAGGTTTTCAAGGGCCTCCGAGTACAAGCGCTGACCTGTGAGGTTTTTGAGGACCTCAGACTGCCACAGGTAGACAGACAGACCTATGAAGTTCTGGAGGGTCTCAGAATACCTTTAAAATATTGAAGGCCTCCAAGCACTACACAGACATATGGGGTTTCCGAGAGCCTCCAAATACCACAGGCGTGAACTTGTGAGATTTTGGAGAGCCACTGAACACCAGAGGCAGGGACCTCTGATGTTCAATATCGCCTCCGAAAGCCACAGGCACTGATTTGGGAGGTTCAGAATCCACTCTGAGCACTATAGGTACAGACCTGGTAGGTTTGAATGGGCCTCTAAGAACCACAGGCTTCGAGCTGTTAAACACATGGTTGAAGAAGGGAAGGGAGGGTAGGAGGGGGGGTGGTAATCATCAAGCAGCACATGTATCTTACTAACATTTATATAAATTATATTGCGATTTGTACAATCACAACTTTGTCCGTCACATGGGTCTATAAAACACACCTGGTAACAACATCTCTAGTTTATTAATCAGGTAAACATTAGAAAAATATAAAACATGCACCTAGCCAGTATTCACACCTCATCCTCACATGGTGTCCTCACAATACAATAACTGATATCTATAGTTGAATCTATATACTGTTTACCAGTGACTGTATGCCTATATTTTTTTTGTACAGTTTGGGACTTTTCCACCCTCTCGGTGAGATGTAAAGTGCACATGTCAGCTTAGGTGTATAACATGATGTAAGTGCCCATACATAAATTAATCTAAGAGCATACATAGTATAAATGAAAAAGCATGTTACTGGACTATGTAATGAATAAGATTATAATTAAGTTGCTTTAAATTATTTTCATCCCTGTTACTGTGTGCATTTCACTTCTCACCGAGTAACTCAGAGGCTTCAGATTCGCGAGTCAATACTCTCAGGATTAACAACTCATGGGAAGGGTGCAATGGCAAACAGTACACAAATTTCTGGAAAAGGGGGGGGGGGGTGTGGTAAACTTAAGGATAGGGACATTATTTTATTTACATCCCATGGTGTAACCGGGGGACGAGCGTAGTTGCTACGACTTTCTGAGGCACTGAATAGTAGGACATATTTTATAACCAATATTAGTACTTCTGTTGGAGGCTTTCTCGCTGCCTATGGGCCTGAATTAATTTCTAAGTTCTTACATTCTCGTGAACTGGTTGAATGAGTTGTGGGAAGTGGCAAAATGGGGGATCCATGGCCACATGCCCCCTCCCCCCTCCCCGAGGGTGGAATGAAAACACTTTGTGTACCAGGTGCAAAAGTCTGCAACTGTACATGCTAAACTTCTTGTGAAATTTCTATTATGATTTTTAGTGATTTGATATCAATAAATCATGAATTCTTTGATTCAGCTGACAAATGATTAAACTTCCAAGTTTCTTACCTCACACAGTTGGCAAGTAAATGCATATCATAAGTTCTTTGCTCAACAAATGTTGAGTAATTTTTCAAGATCATTAACAGCAAAACCCTTACCTTTCCATAAACAACACAAGCAATATACGTACATCTTCTGCAAATTTGTTTCAAGACTCACATGCTTATCTTAAATGCTTCAAGGTACAGGCAATGACCACTGATATGATGGGGTTAGGGACCTCAAAAAGCCACCTTTAAGTGATCAATCTTATCTCGACATCAACAACTTATAGGGAAAAAAAGATTCAGGTATTGAGCCCCTGAAGAGCCCAAACAAGTTTTATATCCAGCCACCATAATGATTAAATAATGTCTACAAAACTCAAATAATTTATAATTATACATAAAATTAATAAGTTTATACAAGATAAAGATTTTATTTTCATGTACCCTACATACTATGTACTGTCGCGGTCAAAAGTAATCATACACCCCTCCTACCATACCCACGAGCTCAAGGCCTTTCTACACAATGGGTTACTAGAGGGTGGCGAGGTATTGATGAGAAGAGATAGGGGTAGCAGAGACCCGGGTAACATAGGAGGCGCAAGTCAGGGCCACATGCGTAGTGAGAATGTATGCGGTTTTAGAATTATTCTTAACACCTAAAGAAGATTGGTGGATGTAGCTTGGCGTTGGCGGCCTTTATGACCCTAGCACTCGATAAAACTGAAGTCCAAACAACCAACTAACCAGGAGGGCGGGTGTCCGGGGACGTGAAATATGGACTTAATGTTCCCTTAGTTATCTATGCTTTTACTTACGATTCTGGGGAGGAGTGCGAGTGAGCTTTTGGCAGGTAATGTGTCAATAGGGTTAATAACGCATTTGGCAAACATAATAGAAGAGGGGGCGTGGCTTGCCCACCACCAGTAACACTAAACAAAGCTGTTACCTAATCACTTCCACCTCTCAACACTACCGTTTTGAAGAAAAAATCATCAATATTAATTGAAGAAAAGAATTGAGAGCGAGTTTTTACTTGATCACTTCCACTTTTCACCACTACCAATCTCGAAAAAATTACTATTAATTGATAAAGGATTGAATTTTTGAATTGTTGGATAGAATGTGACTTGTCCAGCCTGTGGTATGTTTATTAGAGGTGTTAAAATCTTAATGAGGTAATGGGGTGGTAGTGGCAATGGTGTTAAGCCACTGCTCCACACCCAGCCCAGGATGGACCTTAAAGAGTGTCGACTGGCGAGTAGCGGGCAAATTTAATTATCGGCGTGGCTGGCTACAACGTGTCAGAAATTGCAAGAGAGGATGGGGTTGCTTTGAGTCGTTGGTTAACCCGCTGGGAGAAGTCTGGAAACTTGGGAAACCGGCCATAGTGATTATTTTTTATGGTTTGCTGACAATTGATGTATTGAAATGACTAATTTCAGATGTGTAATGTAAACAAAGCATATTTGAACTTTTTAATTCATATAAATGATATAATTTTAGGCCGGGAAGTCCATGACTGACAGGTAAGGACGATACCGGATGGGCTTTTGAGATTTTGTATGACCTGTGTTGGTAAATATTAAAAATTTGATTTTCCCCTTTGTTTTGGAGATTTTTCCTCATATCAACGTTATTATAAATATACATTTACAGTTGTTTAAAACCAGAAGAATAACGTGATAACAATGATAAGGAAATTGATGGCACATTATGATAATCATAAAATAATGGTCTTCATATATTACTCTTTCAAACATGTAAATCTAAGATAATAAAGTGAAGAAAAAAATACATCCATCCTTTGCTTCTTTCTTTCATGAATTTCCCTGCTTTTTTCAACGCCCTCCCTCTCGGATGAGCAACTTACATTGCATGCCACCCTCCCACACCACTCCCCCTTGTCGACCATTGTCCCTCTCTACCCTACGTGACTTACTTTGCAGAAAGGACATAAGAAAATAAGGAGTCTGCAATAGGCCGGTTGGCCTGTGCATGGCCAGATAAAAAACATATGTTAAGTGAATTTAGGTATTACGAATAAAAGAACACAACTACTATAAATTACTACCTAACACATGACAAAAAATAAATACTGTTTAACTTTGGTAGATTACCTTCTGGGAAGGTATAAGTAAAAAAAAAGATAGCATGTTCGACCCACAAATGATGTGTGGGAAGTTTGCGTGTGGAAGAACTTATTCTTTGTGCATAAAATAATATATACAGTAAATGTGAGGAATATATATATATATATATATATAAGAAAAAATATTGCATTGCCATTTGGCAGGATAAGGTGGAGCAGTGAGTGATGAGGGTGAGTTGCCATTGCTAACTCCCTCACTCAAGTGCTTGCTCCCATACACACACACATAATGTTTAATGCCTTATGTTTTTGACCTTATGAATATTTTTTTTGCACATTCTATATGAAAATTGTGTGTGCACGTGTGTAAAAAAAATCGTATATCTACCAGAATATACGAGTTAATAAATAACAATAACCAACCTCTCCTATATTTGCGCACTTATTACCCAACACATGAAAAATGAAAAGAAAAGAAAATACTGAAACTTTGGTACATTACCCTTTGGGAGAGCAGTCTGGGTTCACCACCACAAGGGGGCGAGCTGAGTAAGGCCTTACTAAACGAGATGAAGAGGGTTGTCTACCTCATCACTGCTGTCTGCCAAAGACATCACAGCATGCTCGTAAATTGTGGCCTCAGTAGAAGAAGCCAGATCAAGATCGTTCCCAGTCTTGGCAAGATCATCACTGCATTGATGACGCTAAATTACTCCTAGCCTTGTCTCAAAGAATCATAGCCTTTCGTGGTTTCTTCGGTGCAGTGCGGGTAACTGAATATTCAGCACAGCGCTTGCATGCCATAAAAAAAGATACAACAAAAGGATGGCACGAATAACCACGGATAAAGAGAGATCACTTCACACACAATGAATGGAAGAACGCGGGCTTGTGGGAGGGAGATATGATCAATGAGCGAGAATGTCTCTGCACCTCTCCCAAAGATGGCCGTGCCAGCCAACTCCTGGACCCAAATTCGTATAAAGGAGTAAGCTTTCGTATATAAAGAAAGTGGTGTAAATTTATGAAATTCGTATAAATGAATTTTCGTATCTGTAATTAGGTAAAAAAACAGTGATTAAAATTTTTTTACGTCCCTATTCATGGGGGCGGCTGGGGAGTTAGGTGTCTGGATCTCATTCAAGCTGTGAGCTGCTTAACTCATATTCTTAAAACTTGCAATTTCGGGTAGTTACACGTAATTTTCTTCATTTTGTTTTACTGTTACAAGTTACAAATATAAAAACAATTATTATAAGATAAAAAACATAAACGGAATAAAATTTTGTTTCATCCCAGGGAATGGCAGTGTCAAGGGAAGGTAAACACCTAGAAAAAGTGCAAAAGAGGGCATGCAAGATTATTATCTCCCCTTCCTACTCCACATATCAAGAAGCGCTCAACACATGACCCTTTCGACTCTCACTGACCATCACCACGACCTCATCTGCAAATTTGGTAAGAAGCTTCTACACCATCCTCGACACCGGCTCCTACTACCACCTGAGATCCCTAGCCCGAGAATTGCTGTTCGACACCACAACCGCATCCAGCCCATACGTGCACGAACTGATCGCTATAAGGACAGCCCAGTCCCAACAATTGTAAAAATTATCAATAACTTGTAATAGACCAGTGTATTCACTCCCAGTAAACACTACTCCTTGCACTGTCACTATGTTGAAATGTACTGTAGTTTGAGCTTTTCCCCATCTAGTTATTATATATATTATTTAAATCACTTATGTTACTTGTATATTATTCGTAATTCGAAACCCATTCCCCAAATATGTAACTGTATATTTTCAGCCTTCTGGCTGCCAAGTTCTTTCAATAAACCGTTAATTATTATCATTATTAAACAATGGAGAACCTTAGCTTCCGGCTTTATTCAAGATGTCTTGAATAAAGCCGAAAGCTAAGGTTCTCCATTGTTTTCCTTTCCCTGTGTGATTTTATCAAGATTTATCTTATCCACGTTTCCATAGTGGATCTACATGAAATATAAATATATATATATATATATATATATATATATATATATATATATATATATATATATATATATATATATATATATATATATATATATATATATATATATATACATAATAAATATATATTATATATATATATGTGTATATATATATATGTATATATATATATATATATATATATATATATATATATATATCATAAGGTCAGAAACACAAAAGGATTAATATTTATTATGTGTGTGGGAGCTAGAACAAGATGGAAAAGGAGAGAAGGAGTTGAGTTCTCTCACGGCTCTTCTGTCTCGTCTTGTGACAAGACTGCCAAATGGCAATGCAGTATTCTTTCTTTCATTTATTATTATAATTTTTGTATTCCCCATATTTACTGGTACAGTATATATTAGAGCATTTTATGTACAAAGAATAGCTTTTTCCAAACACAAACCATCCTCAGGGCAACATGACACATTCAACTACTTAGTCTGGCAGTCATCTGGCATGGGTAGAACCTCACACACATCCTGGGTGAGTCGCACGTGTTACGTGATTCCGAGATTGCGTCATCATATCTCGGAATATCGCGAGTTATTGCACAGTAGTTTTTCATAGTGACAATGCAGGGAAAGCATTTAGATAGCAACCATTGTAAAACTAATTTTTAGCCATCGCGTAAATGGTGTTAATTTTTAATCATTGTAAAATTGATCGAACGTATATTGATCCATCGTTTAACAGGTCATTTGCCTGTACTACATAATCTAGGAATGTGTGCAAGTGTTGAATATATAACAAGTATTCTTCTTGATATTAATTAACGCTCTAGTATCAGGGTTTAGAGATATGAACTCACACATTTCGTTTCTCGTTAAAACAACAGAATTTGCTTTCCCAACATAATAAAATTGACACGATAGGATTATTTGCCATAAATTTCAGATAATCAAATATTTCTTCATTTATTAAATTTTTATAAAATAATTATTTTTGTTGCCATTTTATAGTAAATTTATATTACTGCAATTAATCAGAAAACCTCTTCACTAGCCTGTCTTTACTCACATGCCAAGTGGCACACAGTACACTGAGTACAGTATACAGAATGCTGCAACACATTAAAACAATAAATCCATGTTCAGTCATTCAGCCTGAGGAGGAGTTGGGGTTTCACTTATCACAAATGATTTTAATGTCATTTTCACACCTGTGGCAAATATTACAAGCTTACAATAAAGAATGAAGATAAGTTTTGTTGATAAGGAGACACCAGAAAGCCAGCAGCTGAAAGAGGCTAAGACAGAGAAGCACAAAAACAATATTACACAATTTTCTATTATTTTTAGTGGATGATAATAGGTGGTAGTGGTGTGAGTACACTCGTTCCAAAAAAGTATTATCAAGGAGGGATCTGATGAACTTTAAAATGGACATCTCGACTCCTGTTGTCTCGATAGGGTTGTCAAAATCTTTCATCCTTTGTGTCATATTGTTTTTGTATCGCTTAAGATACGTTTTGGAGCGAGTGTACAAGTAAAGTTTGTGTTCAAAGATGTGATGGCTGTTCTAGTTCATGACATGTGTTCATAGTATTTTGAGAGAAATTTTTCCACTCATTACAGTATACACTAATGTAGAACTTGCTGACATATTATTCACATCAGTTAATTATTTATATAAGTTGTTAAGAATGTAAATCACAGTAAGCACTATACTGTACATCATATCTGGACAGTTTATATTCATAGTTCATTCACTGCCAACATTATTTATTGTGAAAGGCACTCGATGGGTCGGGTGTTGCCTTGGACACAGGCATTAGTATACCTTCTGTTAATTCTTCACTGACCGATGAAGACTTTGCATCCAGGCAAACAGTGGATGTGGCTCTATCATCTCCCACACTGGAGGAATTAATAATTGTCGAGATTCGTGAAGCAGCAGTTATTGTGGTTTTGGGCGACTCTGATTGGATGGACTGTGAGCCAGTTATGTGTCAGGACTCGAGCATGTGAGCCACCTCACGGAAACCGCCAAGGAAATTGGCACTTCCACTACAGCTCTCCAGACCTGCAGAGATAACGACAGTGAGGTTGACAGACAGTGGTCCCACTGACAATTTTTCTAACAATCAAGGGTGACGGTGAATATTTAACCACACAACACACACTCAAAATATATTTCTTACCACCACACTGGAAGACTTACAGGAAGAGAGTGATCCAGGAGATGACCCATCACCCTCATAAGCATAGTTCCTCAGATCATCCCCAGTTGGAGGATTGCCCACTCCTCTTTTGCTGGCACCATTCTGTTTCCTTGCTTCAAATGTCCCTACATCTTTGTCTCCTTCAGGGGAGACAGCTAAGGTGCTACATAGTCTCTGGCCCTCCATGCTGCTGGTCTCTGAGGCTGCATCCACCTGCAGCACGTCCACATCTGACCAAGAAGGAAAGCACCTTTAAACTATTCAAAATTAAACTGTTTTGGATAACTGAAACAACACATGTAAAATGATTAAATAAGCCCAATTTCTTAAAAATAAAAGTGCAGTTAAAGACCAGAGGAACATTAAGCCCCACACAACCTATCCAATTCTGCAGGTCCATTCCTGCACTTTTTATCAGGGGCTAAACCACTGAAGGGATGTCCCAGTAGGAGGTAACTTACCTACATTGCCGGAAGAGTCTAAGAGGAGCAAAGGCAGGAGGGCATAGCTTGCCAATACCTGCCTGAAGTATGTCAGATGAACCCCCCAGATGGTTGACTCACTTACCAGAAGAACCTCAAAGGAGTCCCTGCAGGAAGTCATGACTCACTTGCAATATTGGGGTTCTTGGTCCAGGCAGGCTGGCCATTGGCTTTAGGTGGCTTAAGCAGCTGCAGCTCTAGCAGGTTAGGTGTGTGGTTGCATGGTGGTGACACTTGTTCCTTACTGCTTACATTGTCATCTTTGTCATTTGCAGCGCCTCTGCGTAGTGCTGATCTTCGCTGGTGTTGGTGTAGTAGGAAAGCACATATCAGCACTATAAAGAACCAATTGCATGTTATAAGTTATTTTTGAACTCTCATTTTGTGATTCATTCTAAATAATACTTAAGTGTATTACAATTCAAATGCACAGTCAACCAGATTTCTCCGTAAAAATCTCCAAAATTCTCTGTGCAAATTTCCAAAATCTTCTTTACAAATTTGTCCATAAGAATTTCCCAAATTCACCACAAAAACCTCATAATTTTCCATAAAAATATAAACAATTCTCTGTAAAAATTCCAAAATCCTCCATGTATTATTCAAATAAATCCTCCAAATTCTCGATAAAAATTCCTAAAATTCACCGTATAAAAGTATTTGGGACAATATAGGACCTTTAAGTGGATGAATCCCAGTGCGCAGGTGATAAGGACCTTTAACTCCCACAACTCGGTTGCATTCTACATAGGTCTCCACAGTACCCAGTGTGTAGGTGGTTGGGTGATGATGCTAGCCTCTGTAACCTCTCACTTCATTCTGAGGAATAAACTACCCCATTACTGGGATGACTTACTTTAATATCACACCTCCTACTAGATGTACAGTAATCTACTGTAAGTGTAGGCTATTAAGATTGTGTGGTTTCGTGCTCTAGTAGCAGGATAATATCATTTAAAAGTCACTTAGGTGTCCCGCTGGTCTTGATCTCATTGGCAAAATCTCGTTCGATCACTGTTGCTATCTGTGCAATCTGAGAAAGTTATTCTTCTGTAATTTATTTTGTATATTTCCTCCAGTTTTCTTCGACGAGCTGTTATATCAGTACATACTCCTTTAAATTAATCCTCGTCACAATAGAACTTCCTATGAACGATGGATCATATGCACAATCAGTTCTTTTGAAAACAAGAATAATTCCTTTCCTTGAGGCACCAATATTGTTCCTCATTAATGACGAGCACTCATGGCTGGTGTTTCCTCCAATCTATACTACATACTTTTTCATTTCAAGTTTCCACAGTAGTCCCTGTTATCATTAAGTCTTTCTTAACTGAAGACACAGTACTACACTCTGATTGACCCATTGGCGGTCAATTACAGCCATGGACACGTTTACTTTAATTTTTCTGTATAAATCTCTACATAGGGCATTGATTTTATGGTTGTACCCATGCAGCTTGGCTCTGGTCATATAGAAAGAATATTTTAATCTTTAATCACGAATAACTCCAAAATTTTATATCGATTTACACAATAACATCACCAAGACGGTCTTGATAATCTTATGAATTCACTGCCCAATTTCTGTCGCTCAACAACGAAAGTCCAAATGACAACATGCCTTGTTACAGACACACAGCACAACACGACCCGCACGGCCCAAGACCTTTAATATGTACACAGGGAGCACCATCAGTGGTTAACCTTAGACAATATCAAGGCTCCTGTACAGTAGTTTAAAACCTCGTAGCTAGGGGGCAGACAATCGACCACAGTTTGAAGGCTCGGTTTCGGATCCGGAATACTGAAGCACAGGTTATCAAACTTTTGGGGTCACCGTACAAAAACAGTATCACATGAAGTATGGGTCCCACAGGCATGGCTGCCAGTCCTTATTCTTAAAGCAATCAAAGAAGTGCATGTATTATTAAGACTCATGAAGCCACCAGGACTTACAGAGGAGGAAGGTGCACCACACAACTATGGCCACCAGTGCTGCCAGGGAGAGTTTTGGAGAAGTCTCCCCCACGTCAGGCAGGTGACAGTGTTGTCCACTGAACCCTACTGGACATGCACACACATAGCCTGTAATACAATATGAAAGTGCAATTAGATAAAATTTAAATGGGATGTTGGTGATACAGCAGTTGAACATTTGCCTCTCACTACTGTGTCCCAGGTTTAATTGTGGTAAGATGTGTATTTTTTTTCCGGTGTGACCCAGCCTAACACTGCAGGTTTTTATCCAAACACTCTGTTGTCCTACTATAATAACACTGGATTCATGACTGGTGAAGGAAAAACTCATCAGAAAGAATGTGGTTACTGTAGTACATTCTCCAGCCTCTTTTCTCCACCAGACCCTTAATTTGAAACTTTAAAATTAAGCTAATCATACAGCATAAGTAAAAAACTGATGTGTGCACTTATCCTAAAAACAAATAAGATGGAATGTCATCAGAGCATCAGCTTCTGCTCCATGAAAAAAAGGTGATTGATCTTGATTTATGACCTATTATATATATATATATATATATATATATATATATATATATATATATATATATATATATATATATATATATATATATATATATATATATATGCAAGTAAATCACTGTAGGTGCACTTGGGAATTTTTCCTTGTTCCACACACACACACACACACACACATACATATATATATATATATATATATATATATATATATATATATATATATATATATATATATATATATATATATATATATATATATATATATATATTCATAAATTTAATTAATTCTTTCTGAACACACACCTGGTTGGGTGTTAAAGCAGGAACCACCATTGAGGCAGGGCTGCCACACACACTCATCCTCATCGTCACAGGTGGTCTGGCTGCTGCTCAGCACATGTCCCTTACCACACCTGCACACAGGTATAATTTATTTAATAATACTTACAGTACTATTAACAACACTTCAGCAATGACCAGTTATAACTTTAATAACAAATTCACTTAATTATGACTTTCTGCAGCAAAATACTTTAATGGTGACTTAACAACTGACCACTTCAATGATGACATTATACATACTGTATAAAGAAGGTACTGGAAGTGAGGCCATTGTAAACATATTTCTAATAATCATAACTCTGATAAAGCCTTATACATAAGACACAAAGAAGGATAACCAACTGAAAAAATATACGGGTGAAATTCTTTGGTGGGGGAAAGAAGTGTCTTGGTACACACCCACAGTGGTAGGACCTCCAGGTGTCGACACAGGAAAGCGGAGTCCTGCAGGACACATTCACACAGGCAGGAGGGGCGCCACACCCCTGTTCCACGCCCTTCAATACACTCGCCTGACCCCATGCTGTGCTGTTGACCGCAGGCGGCAGCGGAATACCATGACCCGAGATCCGCAGGTCGTCTATACACCCTGAAGGTGAGGCCAGTGAAATGTGTAAGAATGTTTTGATCTTTCTTTCTCTCTCGTTCATGCAACTTAATGTCTATCTCCGCACCCTAATTAACATAAATCCTTTCCTCATTCCCACATAGCCCCTTTACTTTGATCTAATCTCCCTTCTTCCCAATGCACTCCTCCCAGACCAACATTTCGCGCCACTCCCTAAGCACACACACCTCTACCAACTACCTCATGTCTATCATCTGTAATTTATAAATCTATTCACCTAATACTTATCTGTAAATCTGCACAGGAACTATTCCCTCTTCCTTACCATCAAAATAATCCTTGTGGATATTGAAGACACTAACATCCAAGAACTCTGGCGATCCTCCAATGTGAATACCTTCTTGCTTGTCTACTTCCAGCAGTTGACGTCCCTCCAACACGACGGAGGCGTTGTATAGGTTGCCGTCCCCATCGTCCACCATGAGGAAGGTTGCCGACCCATACCTGTCAACACATCTGCATTAATAATACTGTACCTTATAAATTAATAAATGTGTAGTCACAGCTGGAAATTATGTAGTAGTTTTGCTTACCAATCTTATCCTACACCAACAACACACATACATAAGTAGAAAACAATCCTTGTGAAAAATTTGAGCAAAACATGAAAACTTAAAACAAAATGTTAACCATAAAGATGAATAAAAATGAAAATAGTGTGTTGGGTATAGGTACTCCTGAATGTGCTGCTTAAGGATCTGTTAACCAAAATTTGATATCTTGATTATAAGTTGTTCAAATGGCTTTTAGAAAATGTTCAAATGATTTTTAGAATATTTTAATTACTTTTGCAATGCTAATTACTCGCCACTTATGGGTTTTCGAGGTCATTTCTTGGTGCTTGTGTATTATTCTGGATGTACTTAAATAGTTAGGCACATTAAATTTTAGTTCAGAGAGAAAAAGTATTTTTGGCCAAAATCCTTTAAGGCTAAGACTTACAATTTTTGTCATTTCGGCCAAAAAATGGATTTTGTTCAAAATTTCAGTATAGGTACTCCTGAATGTGCTGCTTAAGGATCTGTTAACTAAAATTTGATATCTTGATTATAACTTGTTCAAATGGCTTTTAGAAAATGTGCAAATGATTTTAGTTATGTATTATTTGTATGTACTTAAATAGTTAGGCACATTAAATTTTAGTTCAGAGAAAAAGTATTTTTGGCCAAAAATCCTTAAGGCTTTAGACTTACAATTTTTGTCATTTTCGGCCAAAATGGATTTTTGTTCAAATTTCAGTATAGGTACTCCTGAATGTGCTGCTTAAGGATCTGTTAACCAAAAATTTGATATCTTGATTATAACTTGTCAAATGGCTTTTAGAAAATGTTCAATGATTTTTAGAATATTTTAATTACTTTAGCAATGCTAATTACTCGCCACTTATGGGAGTAAAAAATGATTTTCTTCAAAATTCATTATAGAGTACTCCTGAATGTGCTGATTAAGGATCTATTACCAAAATTTGATATCTTGATTATAACATTAAATGGCTTTTAGAAAATTTAAAATATTTTTATAATATTTAATTCCTTTTGCAATACTAATTACTCCCACTTATGGGACAGTTAATTTCTTGTATACTGGATATCCATAAATAATTTGGCACAATAAATTTTAGTTCAGAAAAACTATTTTGGCCAAAAATCCTTTAAGGCTATAGACTTACAATTTGTCATTTTCGGCCAAAAATGGATTTTGTTCCAAAAACTTCGTATTGCTCCTGAATGCCTATGCAAGTCTATTAACCAAAATTTGATATCTTGATTATAACTTGTTCAAATAAGCTTTAGAAAATGTTCAAATGATTTTTTAGATATTTTAATTAACTTAATACAATTACTCGCCAATGGGTTTTAGAATAACTGTGTATTATTCTGGACTTAAATAGTTAGGCACATTAAATTTTAGTTCAGAGAAAAGAAACATAACATTGAAATCCTTTAGGAAGACTTACAAATTTTTTGTCTTCATTAAAAATGGATTTTGTTCAAAATTCAGTATAGGTGCTCCTGAATATTAACAGCAGGATCTGTTAACGAAATTTGATATCTTGATTATAACTTGTTCAAATGGCTTTTAGAAAATGTTCAAATGATTTTTTAGAATATTTTTAATTACTTTTGCAATGCTAATTACTCGCCACTTATGGGTTTTCCGAGGTCATTTCTTGGTGCTATGTGTATTATTTGGATGCTACTTAAATAGTTAGGCACATTAAATTTTAGTTCAGAGGAAAAAAGTTTTAATAAAAAATCTCTAAAACTATAAACACAATTTGTCATTTCCGACAAAAATGGTTTGTTCAATTCAGTATAGGTACTCCTGAATGTGCTGTAAGGATCTATTAACCAAAATTTGATATCTTGATTATAACTTGTTCAAATGGCTTTAGAAAATGTTCAAATGATTTTTAGAATATTTTAATTACTTTTGCAATACTAATTACTCGCCACTTATGGGTTTTCGAGGTCATTTCTTGGTGCTTATGTATTATTCTGGATGTACTTAAATAGTTAGGCACATTAAATTTTATCAAGAGAAAACGTATTTTGGCCAAAAATCCTAGGCTATAGACTTACAATTTTCGTCATTTCGGCCAAAAATGGATTTGTTCAAAAATTCCAGTATAAGTACTCCTAAAATACGCTGAAGGATCTGTTAACAAAATTTGATATCTTGATTATAACTTTTCAAAAAAGCCTTTAAAATGTTCAAATGATTTTAAGAATATTTTAATACACTTCCAATGCTAATTACCTCGCCACTACATTTCGAGATCATTTCTTTTTTACGTGTATTACTAGATGTACTTAAATAGTTAGGCACATTAAATTTTAGTTCAGAGAGAGAAAAAGTATTTTTCTCAAAAATCCTTCAACTTAGACTTACAATTTTTCGTCATTCGGCAAAAAATGGATTTTGTTCAAAATTTCAATATAGTACTCCTGAATGTGCTGTAGGATCTTTTAACCAAAATTTGATATCTGATTATAACTTGTTCAAATGCCTTATAGAAAATGTTCAAATGATTTTTAGAATATTTAATTACTTTTGCAACTAATTATCTCCATATGGGTTTTCAAGGTCACTCTACTTGTCTTGTATTATTCTGGATGTACTAAATAGTTAGCACATTAAATTTCAGCAGAAAAATTTTAAAAAATCCAACACACAAACACCCAACAAAAAAAAACCAAACGCAATCTGTTAACAAAAACG